AAAGCATCCTTGATACTTGTGCTCTTAAATGAGGTGAATTTAACTGAGGGTTCTTAAATGTCTCTGAGCAAGGGGCTCAGAATGGAGCTGTCCTTGACACACTTAACTAAGGCTTCCTTAATTAAGGTGGGTTTAAATAAAGTGACTTGAACAGATTACCACTTAACTAAGCATCTCTATGGGCTGGCCTCTCTGATAAAGCTATACATTTTGGTGCTGTTTCTTACTCCCCAAGACTTCTCCATGAGAAAAGGCTTATAAACCTGCATTAGTTTTAATATAGCGCTCTGGTTTGTGTTTTTAAAATGTTACCATGGTTACAGTTAATCTGTTCTTTAAATATCCCACATTTTCCTGTATGGAAAATATGGTGCTTGTTAGTGTTTAAGTAGGTATTTAAATTTCTTTGATCTAGTTAATTAGGGTCTAGATGGTGGCATTTAATCACAGCCCCTGAGTCAGTCTCACAAGGCAAAGAGGCACAGCTTTGCAGGGAGAGCAGGCTCAGTCCCACCTTTAAGGCAGTTTTCCAGCACCCTTCGAAGTCAGCAGGAGTTGCCTCAGGCCCTAAGAGGGTATAGAAAACAGTCTGGTCGTACCCCTCACCACCCTGTTGCAAAGGTTATTACCAGCACTGACACTAGACTGAAGCATTCCTGAGTATAAGGATTCCCCTTTGTGTCAGACCCCCATCTGAATGGCTATGGGGATAAAGAATCCCTTTGCCCTTATGGGCCTGTGAACATGCCAAGTGGGATCTAGCCCTTCATCTTTTTATTTACTTTTTTTAAAGGTGTGTTAAAATGGCACTTCTTCACCTATCAATGTTTATTTTATAGGGCTAGATTTGACTCCCTTACTCATGTTGAGGAGCACCTCGCCCCAGCCGTGGTCGCACGGGTGCTACTCAGTGTGAGTAACGGCATCAGAATCTAGTCCATAGATACCTACAATTGTGCTTAGCAACATAAATGTGTTATCTTTGAATTATAAACACAAGTTGGTTGTGACTGCACATTGATTTAAGAGAGTCCACCCAAACCTATTTCTTTAGAGTAAGTCCATTCTTTACTGACCTCAGTTAAATAAATTTAAGCCACTTCTACATGAGAATGCAGAATATGGGTTTGCATGAGCTTTACTAAATCTTGTGTGTAAACAAGGCCTTAGTAAAAGCTTATGTCAATGGAATGTTGTCAACAGGCCATCTTTCATGAGTTGAGCATGTCCCATTGTAAGTGTGTAAAGCTGAATTTTATGGCTCTATACTGTGCCTCTGGTTGCAGTTTGCATAGTGATTCTGACACTTGTTTGTTTCTTGCTTTTAAAAGAAAATTGTTTTTTAATAATGGTTCTCACTTCAGTGTTCTTAAATTTCTTCAAAAGTAGGGAATTAAAATGTTGCATTTTCTTAAAGTAGATAACTCAATCTGTCGGTGCAGTGCTTTTTCTGTCTCTTTTGTGGCCAACAAGGGAGATAAAGTGCGCTTGTGAATCAATTGCTTTATTGGGGTTTGGGTATGCCACTTAAGGATCATGCTGCATGAAAAGGAGTTTGTTTTCAGTAGCAAGGGCCTCATTTCATGGCTGCTGAATTCACTCCTTGCCCTCCCGTTGAGGGAGAGTTGGGCTCAAATATCTTTTCTTACATTGTTTAAAAAGAAAATATCGTTCTGATGTTCTGTTATAGCAGAGTATAGTTAGATAAGGGAAGCAGGGAGACAACAGAAGTTATATAAAGCCTCCTGTGCAAGGGCATATTCCCAGTGGCCAAACGCACCAGCTTTTTGGCCCCTACCTACCAGCCAAGTAAAGAGGCTGTATTGGACCTGATGATCAGGCCCTCTGCTTCTAGCCCTCAGAGTTGTGGAAAAAACTAAAATTGAGTGTAGACTGACATAGCATTGCCTTCTCGAGTCTGCAGGCAGCTTGAAATGAGAGTTCAGAGGTGGGGACTGTATTTTTATCACTGCTTTTGATTTTAGCACGAATACCCAGCTCCTATACTTATCCCACAATTCTGAACTACCCCCTCCACACCCATTGCAAAAAGTTTCTTATTCAGTTGCCAAAAGTCTCCAGCTTCCCCCTGCTTTAACAGTTTACATGAGATATGAAAATGCTGCAGTGCATCCAAAGCTGAAAGGGTAGGGACAATCAATTTTATTTTAAAAATGAATGTACAGCACTGACTGAATTCTGTACCTACTTCAATAAACACCTCCAATTTTATAATTCCAAATGAAATGACTACAGAATTTCCAGATGTCCCAGAATCTAGGGACCTTGCCATAAAAATTATTTCCAGCTTGTGTCAATATCCACAGGGTCTTTTCTATAGCAGATGCTACTAGCACCTACTCTAATAAAAACAAAGGGGAGACGCCTGAGAGCCAAGCCAGGATCTAGAATAAGTGCAAAGATGATAGACCAGAATGGGTCTACGGGAGGGTTAAACTCATACTTTAATGCCTGGCAAGGAAACAGCCAGTGCTATGAGACACTAGTCACTAAGATTCTTCAGAAGAATAAAGTGAAGCCCCTCCACATTCTTTAGGGGTTTCTCTCCATCAGGGGAGTAGCAAGGAGCAGTAGACTGGTTTCAGTCACTGCATTTGTGCTTTCTGCTCATCCTGTTCACAAGCTATACATCAGTGATACAGAGACTGAGTCTTGGGAGCTGCAAGTGGCTTTTTGCACTACATGATATTAAAATAATGTGTGATTTAATTCTTACCCAATCAGGAAGCTTTTACTATGTTATTAGCCAATTGTAGAATACATGGTCAGTCATTTTGCTGTGAGAATATTATATACAGTAAATGAAACAATGAATTCACACTACTGTGGCTCTTCTAGGTAACATTGATCATTAATTTGGCTCCTAAACCACTGAGGTCTGAGTATTCCTGCCTCATACATACACAAGTAGGATAAAATCAATAGTGCAGCGCTCTACCATCACAGTATCAGTTGGGTCCACCAGGGTCTCAGCTCAGTCCTCCTTGGCCAGGACCTGGCCCCTATCGAGGTTCTTCATGGCCATGGATTGGGTTAGGAACTGGGGCTGGTAGTCTATTCCCAAGGCTTGGGCCTCAGCAGAGTTCTTCATGTCTGGGATCTCAGCATGGGTCTGGGCCTCTGTTTCCACAACCTGGGCTTCAGGGGAGTTCTTGATGTCCTGGTACTCCATTCCCAGGGTCTGGACTTCAGCCAAGCTCTCCATGTCCGGTGTCTGAACACGGGCCTGGACCTCAGCTAAATTCTCTGCGTCTGGGGTCTGGGCTTGAGCTAAGTTCTTAACATCTGTGCCAAAGGTCTGAACCTGGGCCTCAGCTGAGTTCTCCATGTCCAGTGTCTGAACATGGGCCCAGGCCTTTGTTTCCTGGGCCTCAGGGGAGTTCTCCTTGTGTGGGCACTGGGCCTGGTACTTCAGTCCCAGGGTCTTGACCTTTAGTGGATTCTTCACATCCAGGATCCTTGTTTTTACAAGAGGTTTTTTTATGACCGATGCCTCCATCCAGGCAGGGTACAGATGGGGTATTTCCCCCGTGTGGCAGTTTCTATGGTGCTTTGTCAGATTGGACTAGGTGCTGAAGCTTTTCCCACACTGGGGACAGGGGTAGAGTCTCTCCCCATTGTGAGTCCTGTGGTGTGTGGTGAGATGTGATTTGTGAAGGAAGCTCTTTCCGCATTCCAGACAGAGGTAGGGTCTCTCCCCTGTGTGGCTTTGCTGGTGGATATGGAGATTGCAGAGCCAGCTGAAGCTCTTCCCACACTCAGGACAGAGGAAGGGCCTCTCTCCCATGTACATTTTCTGTTATCTAGTCAGGTGCGCAGGTTGACCGAAACTTTTTCCACACCCAGGACAGTGGTAAGGTCTCACACCTTATAAGACACCAGAGAATCCACACTGGTGAAATGGGCAACTGAAGCTTTTATAGCAGGCAGGACATTAATAGAGGGTCTTCTTTCTGTGGACTCTCCCATGGGCTGCAAGCTCCTGCTTCAGCCTGAAGCTTTTCCCACAAGCTCTGTACTTACAGGATTTCCTTCACATGTGGTTGCTGTTCTCAGAGCTTTTCAGGTCCCTCTGCTCCTTGAGGTTTTCCTTATATGCATAAGAAGTACATGGTCTCTTGCTTTTCTCAGGTCTCTGCTGCACAAGGAGAGTGGGAGTCCTCCCAAAGGAAAGTGAAAGGGGATTCAGGGTCTCTCTCTCATCCTCCATTGGCTTTTTTTTTTTTTTGACACTGTAACCTATGCTGCCTCCTGCAGACCACTCTCTGGGAAAAGTGCTCTGCTGAGTGCCTCACTAACAGAATGCCAAGCACCAGATCTTCAGGACCCTCTACGGGATGCTCCTTCTCAGTTCTGCTCTGGATCCTATCACCTGCTGGATTGAAAGGGGAATCCAGACATTAGTCTAGTGCAGCCCCACCTCACTCCTCAAAGCAGTGCTTGCCCCTGGCACCTAGGAACTCCAGTAGATTTGACTCGATCTGCCGTGCTCAGAAGATGAGATATGTGAATCACAGATGGGGTGAGTGAACAGTGGGTAAGCATAGGAAAAAAGTGAATGGGAAAATCATGGGCAGGGGAAGGTTTAAAAGGGGCAGAGGCAAAAGGAAACAATAAGAGGAAAGACCAGATGATGGAGGGAAGAGAGAAGTGGGGTGTGTGTGGAGAGAACAGATTAAGACAGGGAGGGAATATGTGGGGAGTTTGATATAGAAAAGTGGAAAGACACTAAGAAGAATTAAGCACAAAAACAAGTGGTTTTAAATTAAAACCAAGAGAAAATACTGAAAGGAACATAAAAATGTTCTGAAATGCAGCAGCATTGTATATTTACCCATATAAGTTATAAACAATTCCTTGGAGACCATCTCTCAACCCTCTAGTGATGTGGGGGCCATAGAGCAAGAATTTTGATCCAGATCTGTCTCTGAACGTGAAAAGCTTCAGCAGCAGAGTTTGCTGGAAAGTCAACATGCATTCTGATCATGATATTGCACCTCAAGGGCAAGGAGAGCAGTTTGTCTCTATTCCCTTCCCACTGGAAACACAGGTACACACAAACCCTCACCCCCTCCAGCCTGGCATGGGCCAGGAATAACTGCTGCTGCTCTGACAAACTTCAAGTTGCTTATCTGGTGTGATTTTTCACAATACTTGGGAGATGAAATGCCATCACAGAGCTAAAGGAGTGTCCTAGAAGTATAAAGAAAAGGAGTACTTGTGGCACCTTAGAGACTAACAAATTTATTTGAGCATAAGCTTTTTGTGAGCTACAGCTCACTTCATTGGATGCATTCAGTGGAAAATACAGATTAAGACGGCTGCTACTCTGAATCCTAGGAGTATGGCTCCAGCACCCTCTGAGGCCACATGGTTTATGAAGTAGCTAATTCAAGAAGCCACATGTACTCCCTCTGGTTATGCACACCAAATGCTGAAGCAAAAGGCTGGGAGAGAATGCTTCCCCGCTGTAGGGACAGTGCAGCAAGGGGGGCCTGCTTTGGAAAATCCAAATTCTGCTAAAACCAGCTCTATCCCTTATTACTATAGTATTCCCAACCCCACACCTTGTAAAATTATGAGTCAGATCTCCAAGGATTCAGATTTTTTTAAAAAAATTGTGATTTTTTAAGCCAGATTAATACTACATTATTGTTGTTTGGCAAAAGAAAAACAAATTACACCTCTGGCTGTGGAGGGGAACTCCACTTATCCTGACCTAACCCCTGGGGAAGCTGCCATTCTATCCCTCTCTATTTCACTATCCAGTCTCCTTTCCCACATCTTTCCCTGCCCCATCCAGTCCACTGTGCTAGTCACATTCTCCCTCCATATATTTCCTTCCTTTCACCTCAGTCTCCCACCCCTCAAATCTTCATTCTCCACATTTTCCTGCACCTCACCCTCAAGTCACCCTCCTTGGTCCTGTACAGTTTTCAAACTCTAGAATGCCAGGAGGGTGGAAAGGGGGAGCCATCATCACTGAGGGCAGCCTCGCTTCAGTCCCACTCATAACCCATGAGAGACGACGGCCATCTTTACTAAGGCTAATCTCACTTCCATATCCAAATGCTGTAGGAAAGTGGCAGTCACCTTAAGGCAAGGCAGCTTTCAATTCAAAACATGGGAAAGGGGATGTCCACTGCCAGAAATCAATAAGGTTTGCTTGGAAGCCATGATTAACATCTGCCACGAGAATAGGCCGAATTCTCATTGCAGTACTGTACAAAAAACACAGGCAGCAGCTGCCAGCTCCTGCTGATCAGAAAACAACAAAAAAACATGCTTCTCCACTAGGTTTCCATCCTGTATTGTTCCCTAACCTGAGATGTGCACTCCCATGCTCTATCCCCCATGAGACCCTCTTCTGTTGTAGGTTGTCTCTAAAGCACAGGCCCCATAACACAGCCAGTTCCCTTTCATTCTTCCATCCTACAATATCTCATTCATAATAAAAGTGGCAGCTGCCATGACAGCAAACAGAACTCACGATGGCTTTGTTCAAACCACAGCTTTTTAATTCACTCATTGATAGTTTCTGAGATGGCTTAATTTATTTCTCACCTGTGCCAACTTCTCTTGGTATTTCCCTTTCTTTGGCATCCTGACAATCTGGGATGCAAGGCTCTTCCTCTTGTTCCATCTGAGAGTTCACATCAGGTTTTGGAGTCTCAAATCCTGCCCATGGGAAAACAGTCCAGGCAATACCATGGTTTGTTATGTATTTGTTGAGCATTTATTACAAATAAAGTATCATAGCTGTGAACCCAACCTGCTCTTTCATGGAGACAGGGATTACAGAATCCCAACAGATGAGATTATGTCCACAGAAACCCACTGAGGAAGTAAAATGTGTATCTGAAGACTGAAGTTGTTTTGTTTCCCTGTTGGAGACTCAAGGATATCCACACATGGAGGACTAGGTAAGTCATGAGCAGTGCAAATGTTAATACTCTTACCGATTTCTCAAAGTCAAGCAGCTTCAGAGTGGGGATTAGTCCCACGGAGGGTGGACGGGGCACTTCTATGATTGTACTCCACAGCTAAACCACAAGGATGGGGCTGAGGTGTGACTACAGATCACCTCCTCCGATTAAAAGGGCAATTCAGGAAAAAAAAAAAAAATGGTTGCATGGCAGTGACTGTCTCTCTCACAAAGTTTCTAGGGACCACAAGGACCGAGCCCTTAGAAATCCAAGAGAAGAACCGTGAGCCACAGTTTAACAAGTTCTTGGGAGACCACACAGCTTTTAAGTAATGAGGGGAAATTAATCTTTACCCAGAGAGAACAGTCTTCAAAGTCTCCTGCATGACATCCTTGTAGAGCTCCCTCTGCCTTTTGTCCAGACAACCGCACTCCTCCTTAGTGAAATACACAGCCACATCTTCCAATGTCACTGGAATCTGAAACAGGTGTACCCCGTTCAATATATGCATAGTCAATGACAATCCTGCTGCTCAGTCACAGGCTGTACAGGCACAGGGTCAATCTAATTAGGGTTGTGGTTTGGTTCTTTGTGATGAAGTGGAAGAAGAGAAGAAAGGAAAAGAGGGGAGGGAGTGTGTGCATGGGGGATAAAAAGGGAGACAGGACAGGTTAGGGAAAAATGTGTTGGGAAAAGAGAATGAAGGAGACAGAAGTGGGGGAGGGTCAGGTTGAAGAATAAGGAGAGAGATGGAGATTTAGAAAAATTCAGATGCAAAGAAGTCACCACATTAAGAGTCACTTGAAATAAAATTAGATGTGGGGGACAGATTATTTCTCTCTTTACCTTCTCCCTCGATAGCTTTTTTCCTTCTCTTTGCTTTGGAAATAGTATACTTTCTCTGCTCTCAGGTCAGCTCTTCATGGGCTCAAGCTTGGACCATCTCAGAGCTACATCCAGAATCAAGACCATTTTCAAAGTACCACTAGCATATTCCTCTTCAACCCACTATCACATTCCCTGACAGAAAATTAGGCTTCCCCTGCCCATGGCTATCATCTGATAGCACTCTGCCAGGGACTCAAGAACTGAAGGCTCAAGAAAGTAAATAAGCTGGCAATATTCTGTCGTAGTCAGAACTCTTCTAGACATGAGTATTCAACCAATACAAAATAAAATTAGTGGGTTCACCTCAGGTGGTAACAGAATTGTTTAGAGTTCAAAAATTCTTTATTTTACACATTCACTAACAATCTCTCCCTTACTCTCTCCATCATCTCACCTCTCTCCTCTTCACTCCTCTGAATTAACATTCAGTGATCCTTACCTTTTGCCCACATTTCCCAATCTCCTGATGAATTAGGTGGAAATCCTCTACCAGGGCAATAACCTCCTCACATGTTTCTGGATGAAGTCTCTGGACCCATGTCTGGATTCCCTCAGGCAAGATGGTCAGGAATTGCTCAAGAACCAGCAGCTCGATGATATGCTCCTTCGTATGGATCTCCATCTGCAGCCACAGATGGGAAAGTTCACAGTCAGCTGTAAACCTTTTGGGGTCCTTCTGCTTCCTGACAGCAGAACTGTCTAAAGTGTTTGTGGTGCTTCTCCATGCTGATGCCGTACTGTTGCAGGGTGGCTTCCTTCTCATTACGGGAGTCAACTGTCCCAGACAGGGATAGAGTGGGTACGTTTTCTGCTTGCTCTATTTCCGCTGCTGGTCAATGGCTGAATATGGCTTGCTCCTCCATCTTTACTTCAGATTGCACCACTCAGTTTGGCAGTGCCTGTAACTGAAGGCCCACAGGTGCAGTTACTCACTGCTGCATGTCTGCTGTCTGTCTTTGTGAGGTTACTCCAGCTTGGGCCTATGCTCTAGTTGTCTCACTTCTAAATCTCACTTGTATGCTTGGTGAAAAACATTCATCCTTAGCATCCCACAGTTACGATCAGCTCCACTGACCATTTCCTGCTGTGCAAACCATTTGTGGTGGATTGATGATTTGTAGGCTTGCACATCACACTCTGGAGATGAACTATTTAAACAAATCTAGATGGCTTTACTGGTCCAAGTGAAATTCACTCGCAAGAGGTGCTTCCTGCAGGCTTCAGGGAGGAAAGAAACAAAACTGAGAAAAGGAATGATACATTCAGAATCAGAGCAGGTTTCAGAGTAGCAGCCGTGTTAATCTGTATTCGCAAAAAGAAAAGGAGTACTTGTGGCACCTTAGAGACTTGGAGCTGTAGCTCACGAAAGCTTATGCTCAAATAAATTTTAGTCTCTAAGGTGCCACAAGTACTCCTTTTCTTTTTGAGAATCAGAGCAGGCTCTCTCACGCACCCAACTCCAGGGAACCACAGAGAAGAAAGAGCTAATCTGCCTCCAGTGATGGATTTCTGTTTCTTACTTTCACAGACTGCAAGAGGTTCAGCTCCATCAGTCTCTCTTCTGGATCTCTCAAGACAGCACTGAAATGATAAAAAGCCAGAGGCCCATAGCCTTCATTTAAATAGCCAGAACTTCATTTCACTTACACTAGAGAAAATCAAGAGCAACTCTACAGCACTCAATGGAGTCGCATCTGCATAAAACAGATACAAGAGGAGAATCATGCACATAGCATATAGAGGCATGTAACTCACAACTTTAAATTTCTAAGTGGTCTGTCCATGCTGCTGCTGTGGACCCTCCACTTTGGAGATCAGTTTTAGTCCAAGCATCTGCTATTACAGGACGAGCCTCTTGCACACTCTGCTCTCTCATGAAAACTTCCCATTAAACACTTACCTTGCGGTAACACCGAGAGGCCACAACTAGGTTGGGCCCATAGTGTTAGGAGTGGTACAAACATGCCATAAATGACAGTCCTTACCCCCAAAAGACATTTGTTCTTTTCTGATTGGTTGTTTTCTTTAATCTAAATGAAAAGCAATTCAGAGGGCAAGTGTGTGTATAGAAAGAGAGCAGAGAAAGGAATTAAAGGAGCAGAGAAAATGGGATGGGGCGAGAGTTGGGAGGCAAACAGAAAACTGGTCTGAAGGTGGAAGAGAAAAAAGGGATTGGAGGGGACCTGCTGTACTTTAAGGGGAAAGCACAGAAGGGAAAGCATAAGAGAGAGAACTACCTTAAGTCCTGTAATGGGTCCCAGTTCCTATTCCTAAAGCTCCCAGCAGTTACTGCTTGCTAGCTCTCCCTCTCCTGGCTCCAACTGAGATGGCTGTAATGAGTCCCCCTAGCTCCCAAAAGTTAGGAGACAGATTTTTTAAAAGGAATCTCCTGATTCTTTAGTCTTCAGTGTATGTCTACTGCCCCACCAGTGGTGTGATCAGTTCAGCTTGAAGAATCAACCTTACAGTAAATGCACACACAAGAGTATAAGCCACTTCCCTGGCTGCTTAGAGGGGAACTCCACTAATCTTCCCCTTAGCTCTGGGATGGGACAGCTGCCATTCTTCCCACCCCAATCCCTCTGCTTCCTCCATCCACAACCTCTCAGCCCCTCTCTTCTATCTCCTTCCTCTACCTGTCCCCACTGTTCTTCTCTTTCCTCCTTCTCTTTCCCCTTCTGCGGTCTCATATTTTTCCACCCTGTCCCCACATTCCCTTCCCTCAAAGTATCCTTCCCTACCCCCCAAGCTTCTCCTGTCACCCGCATTCTCCTGTCCTCCAGCATCCCCATGATTCCCCACAACATTCCAAGCTGATTGGCACACTGTCTCTCTGTGTGTCCCCTAGATGTTCACCTGCTCCTCAATGAACTTCTCCGCCTCCTGACAGCACAGTGTCTGGCATCTTCAGTGAGAGTAGCCTTGCCTTTAGTCCCACTGCATACACTCTAAAGTGGTGGCCATCTGTACTAAGGGGAGCCCTGCATCAGTCCTGCTGAGAACAGGAGACAGTGGCCACCCTATAAAAGGGCAAGACTTCAACCCTAGTTCATGAGAGGCTTTGAAGCAAAAACACCCATTTCCCACCCCACACAATTCCTTCTCTAAAAGAGATCTTTCTGAGAGGTATACTATCTCACCATCAGGCAAGAGGGGCAAAGGGGTGGATACCCTCCCTATCTCCACTCCCAAATCCCTGCATCCCCCTTGCAGGAGACCTCAGCATGAAGGAGAAGCAGCTGAAAAAAGGCACATGTGTAAAGTGCTTGCAATTCCATAGACAAGTCGAGTGATCCAGGCAGAACTTCCCTGCTCAAGGCTCAAGCTATTGCACCCAGGGCAGAAATCTCTTTTCCCCTCGCCCCCTGGACCTGGACTACCAACGTCAGGCTCCCCATTCGGTTTAGAAAAGCCCCTGACCCACCTCAGGCCCCCACTACGAGCTGCCCCTGAGCTGGCTCCCTCTGGCTTGTCTTCTCTTGTCTCTGCCAGCGGCGGTTCAGCCCTGGGTCCCCTTTCTGTGCTGGCTGGGACTGGGTGCTGGCAGGGATTTCTTGCCTCCCTGCTGTTCCATTCTGCAGCCCTCCTGCGACTCTCTCTGCTGTCTCCCCTTAGCCCAGGCTCACCTCGCTGGGCTGGCAGCACGCGGGACCAGGGGAATCTGGGGCCGATGCTTCTTTGGAAACGGATTCAATCATGCCACTCTAAAGCACTACTGCGGCAGTGGGCTACGTTACACGTGAGGAGGACGAAGCGTTGGGGACAGGAAGTTCCTTTTATATTAACTTCCCCCCTTGCCGTAGTTCCTGGTCCTCTCCACAAAGGCGTATGAGCTCTGTGATTTAACCCTGTCACTGCGCAGACATTAGCAGAAAGGTTGCAGCTGCAAGTCAGCGAGCGGAGAGACAGCATGTGCAGGTACTGAATGGGCCCCTGTCCTCAGTGTAGGAGGGATGGCCGAGCAGGGATCTCAGAGCTGGGGTTTTTTGCCTCTGTAAAGAAAGACCTTCCGTGTTTTCCTTCTGCTGCATCTGCTTTTAATCCACTGCTCTCCGGCAGAGAAAGTCATTTTATTAATTAAAGGTGTGATTTCATCAGATGCTGGCTCAGGGTGTAACTGATTGCCATATTTGGCGTCTGGAAGGAATTTCCCCAGGTCAGATTGGCAAAGATCCTAGAGGGTTTTTTGCCTTCCTCTGTAGCAAGGGGCATGGGTCACTTGCTGGATTGAAATAAATAAATAAATTAAATAAATTGTAAATAGTGGATTCTCTGTAACTTGGAGTCTTTAACAGAAGATTTGAGGACTTCACTAACTCAGCCAGAGGTTATGTCCTGTGGCAGCAGTGGGTGCGTGAGGATTTGTGGCCTGTAATATTCAGAAGGTCAGACTAGATGATCATGATGATCCCTTCTGGTATCTGAATCTGTAAATCAGCACAATGCGGAGATGTTCGTATATTACCAGCTCTGGAAGACAATCTCTTGCAGTGGTCAGCCTGTCTCATATTTATATTCAAGTTGTTTACGATAAAACAGGGTATTCCAGCATTACCCAAAATTTACACACCAGTTTGTGCCAGTTTTTTATCCTGTTTTGAAAATGGCATTCCAGAAGTCAGCAAAGCTTAGAGACACCTGTATCTTGGTACAGTCTGTATGTTGGTCAAGCATCAACAAAATCATTTTTCTTATCTTGTCTTTTTGGCATGTCTCTGTTCCTGGCACAGAAATTAGAACATTTCATATTTTCCCTTGATTAAAAAGCTGAACATAAGTAAAAAGCATCCTGGGAAGAGTTTAACATGAATACAATTCATAGATATACAGAAATATACCAGATGTTATATATAATATTAATATTGTATATTACATTGGCTGACGCTATATTACCACAGTGTGCAGGAGCAGAGAAACTGCCTCCTGGCACAGCAAGGTTACAGAAAACCTGTGGGTTCAGCTAGCCCCACCCTGCTATACCAGCAGCCAATGCCAGGCCTGGAAGCGGGAGAAAAGAAGGGAGCCTGGCTCAGTGGGGAACTGACTGGTGAGGAGGCAGGAGCTTTCTGTTTTTCCTACCTGAAGGTAGGGATCGACAACCAACCAGCCAGCCAACACAGCCACTGGAGGCAAGTAAGCCTTCCCCTGCCAAGGGGAGTCTGCAGATAAGCCCCAACTGTGGGATAACTGGACTACTGGGGGCTAAGCCCCAAACTAAAGAGACTTTAGTAGGAAGTACCAGTGAGGGAACCGCCACGCCCCCTGGCCAAGAGGGAGACCCATCTCCACTATTAGGGCCCTGGGCTGGGACCTGGTGGAGAGGGAGGGCCCCGGCCCCCCCAACTGGCCAATGATCTAGCCACTATACTGCCTGGCCACCGAAGGCTCTATCATACCTACAGACCTTACACACTTTCTTTATACATAGTTTGCAAGACACAGAGGTGCCTTGTACCAACTTGACTCTTCACAGATTCATAAATTCCAAGGCCAAAAGGGATCATTGTGACCTTCTGTATTACACAGGCCATAGAACTTCCCCAAAATAATTCCTTGATCATATCTTTTAGGAAAACATCTAATCTTGATTTAAAAATTGTCAGCAATGGATAATCCACCAATTGTAAATTGTTCCAATGGTTAATTACTCTCACTGTTAAAACTTTACACCTTATTTCCAATCTGAATTTGTCTAGATTCAACTTCCAGGTTTTGGATTGTATTATACCTTTGTCTGCTAGATTGAAGAACCCATTATTAAATATTTGTTTCTCCTGTAGGTCCTTAAAGACTGTAAACAAGTCACCTGTTAACCTTTTCTTTGTTAAGCTAAATAGATTGAACTCTGAGTCCCACTATAAGGCATGTTTTCTAATACTCTAACCAGTTGCTCTTCTCTGAACCATCTCCAATTTATCAACATCCTTCTTGAATTGTAGACACCAGAAGTGGGCACAGTATTCCAGCAGAGGTCACACCTATGCAAAATACAGAGGTAAAATAAGCTTTCTGCTCCTATGTATTGGAAACACTTTTTTATTTCAGAAGGCTGAGAAAGCTATTAGGGGAGAGGCTGTTTTAGATTTCATTTTGACAAATAGGGAGGAACTGGTTGAGAATTTGAAAGTGGAAGGCAGCTTGGGTGAAAGTGATCATGAAATGGTAGAGTTCATGAGTTTAAGGAATGGTAGGAGGGAAAACAGCCCAGTAAACATAATGGATTTCAAGAAGGCAGATTTAGCAAACTCAGAGAGTCAGTAGGTAAGATCCCATGGGAAGCAAGTCTAAGGGGAAAAACAGTTCAAAAGAGTTGGCAGTTTTTCAAGGCGACATCATTAAGGGCACAAGAGCAAACTATCCTACTGCGTAGGAAAGATAGGTAGTATGGCAAGAGACCACCCTGGCTTAACTAGGAGATTTTCAATGATCTGAAACTCAAAAAAGAGTCCTACAAAAAGTGGAAACTAGGTCACATTATAAAGGATAAATATAAACCAACAACACAAGCATGGAGGGACTAAATTAGAAAGGCCAAGGCACAAAAATTAGATTAAACTAGCTAGGGACATAAAGGGTAACAAGAAAACAGTCTACCAACCCATTAGAAGCAAGAGGAAGATCAAAGACAGGGTAGGCCTGTTACTCAATGAGCGGGGGAAAAACAATAACAGAAAATGTGGAAATGGCAGACATGCTAATTGACTTTTTTTGTTTCAGTTTTCACCAAGAAGTTTAGTAGTGATTGAATGTCTAACAGAGCGAACACCAGTGAAAATGAGAGAGGATCTGAGGCAATATTCCCTCTAATTTTTGACAGGCTGTGTGTGCAAAAAATTTCTTCTGTGCAAATTTTTGTGTGCACGGTGTTTTGCCGTGTCCGCGGGGTTTAGGATCTGTGTGCGCGTGCACATGTGCGCAACTTAGAGGGAACAGTGATCTGAGGTTAAAATAGGGAAGAATGGGGGGAGGGATCTGGGGCAAATATTGGGGCAAATATTGGGGATTGGTCCTGCTTTGAGCAGGGGGTTGGACTAGATGCCCTCCTGAGGTCCCTTCCAACCCTGATATTCTATGATTCTATAAGAACAAGTTAAAAATTATTTAGACAAGTTAGTTGTCTTCAAGTTGCTAGGGCCTGATTAAATACATCCTAGAATACTGAGGGAGCTGACAGAGGAGATATCTGAGCCATTAGTGATTATCTTTGAAAACTCAGTAGGGGTTCTGGAGGACTGGAAAAGGCCAAATATAATGCCAATCTATAAAAAGGGGAATAAGGACTACCTGGGGAATTACAGACCAGTCAGTTTAAATACACAACAACTTCAGTACCCGGAAAGATAATGGAGCAAATAATCAAGCAATCAATTTACAAACACACCTAGAAGATAATAAAGTGATGAGTAACAATCAGGATGGATTTGCGAAGAACAAATTATGTCAAACCAACCTAATAGCTTTCTTTGACAGGATAACAAGCCTTGTGGATAGGGATGAAATGGCATATGTGGTATATCTTGACTTTAAAACCCACTTCATCAGATGCATGGAGTGAAAAATACAGTAAGCAGCATATATATTACAATGAAAAGATGGGAGTTGCCTTACCAAGTGTGTGTTGGGGGGCAGGGTCAGTGCTAAAAAATCAATCAAAATTCAATCAAGGTAGAAGTGGCCTATTCTGTTCCACCTTGATTGAATTGGCCTTGTGAGCACTGACCCTCGGTAAGGCAACTCCCAACTTTTCATGTGCTGTAATATATATATAGTGCTTACCGTATTTTTCACTCCATGCACCTGATGAAGTGGGTTTTAGCCCACAAAAGCTTGTGCCCAAATAAATTTGTTAGTCTCTAAGGTGCCACAAGGAATCCTGGTTGTTTTTGCTAATACAGACTAACACAGCTACCACTCTGAAACTTGACTTTAGTAAAGCTTTTGATACTGTCTCACATGACCTTCTCATAAACAAACTAGCGAAATACAACCTAGATGGAACTGCTATAAGGTAGGTGCATAACTGGGTTGGAAAGCCATTCCCAGAGAGTAGTTATCAGTGGTTCACTCTGCAACTGGAAGGGCATATCGAGTGGGGTCCTGCAGGGACAGGTCTTGGGTCCAATTCTGTTTAATATCTTCAAGGATTTAGATAATGGCATAGATAATGCTTAGTCTTGCCTTGAGTGCGGGGGACTGGACTAGAAGACCTCTCAAGGTCCCTTCCAGTCCTACACTTTTATGATTCTATGTATATATTTACATTTAGCCATATTAAAATGCATATTCTTGGTTTGCGCCCAGCTTATCAAGTGATCCAGATAACTCTATATCAGTGACCTGTCTTCTTCACTATTTACTACTTCCCCCCCCAATTTGTGTGTCATCTATAAAATTTATGAGTGCAAATTTTGTTTTCTTCCAGATGAAATAACCTGGTGTACTGCTTTCGTAAGACTCCATCTTATTCCCTTAATGGATTCTTCCAAACTTTGCACATGGTAAACAGGACGGGGATTCAACCACTTGGACTGAAATTTTGAAGGCCAGGTATCTGCCTCAAGTTGATTTTTTTTTTTTTTTTTTTAAAGTTTCAGCTAAATTAGTTCAGCCATTTGTAACAGATATTTGTAACAGTTTAGCTACCGGTAAGTTTCCACAGCAAAGTTTAGCACAAATATAAAAAATTCTGAGTGTACGCTTAATGGATGTAAAACATTCTATATAATATACCTTATTTGCTATTAGCTACTTTTTTATCTTAATAGCACAAAACACTGTATTCAATCACACCGTAGTTACATCAGTAAATCAATGTACACGTTTTGGTTAATGCATCTGTTTGCAAGAACCAGTTTCATGGTTGTTAGTAGAAATCCATTCCTTATGTGGTAATACTACCATTGCAACATCCATAGTATAGTTTCACAAACAGTGTTTTTCGACTTCACTTATGGCTTAGTCATAAAGTACTGTGGGACTTTGGTTCATTTTGGGCAACTCAGTAAAGCATCAAGTCAACACAGATGGTTTTAGCAGTGCGACATGGCCAGTGGTGTTGATTCTAAGGTACAAGACCAAAATCTTAGAAATATTTTTCCAGTTACACTGGTGAGATACAGAAGTGAGAAGGCTAGAGCATAGGACTGAGCTGGATTAAGGCAATCTCCTGGAAAGGAATATGACTTCAAAACAGGGTGTGCCTGCACCTCTGTTCTTCCAGTTACATCTAAATTAAAGGTGGAGAAGCAGCATGCATTGAACCCTGAAATGGGTGGAATTGAAAAAAGCATTAAAAGCCCCTCCTGTATGCCAATCTGGGGCAATTGTCTATATTAACATACAAGAAGACATCCACTATAGTAAAGCATTGGCATGGAGATGCACTGCCAGCACTTTAAGCAATTTTGTTATCAGGAGTCTGAAGGATCCTCAGAAGTTTATAGTCAACTCTGTGAACTTTCCCATCCATGGCTGCAGCCAGAGATCCATACAAAGGAGCAGATCAGTGCTGCTGGTTCTTGAGCAGTTCCTGACCATTCTGCCTGAGGGAATCCAGACTTAGGTCTGGAAATCTCATCCACGGACTGGTGATGAGGTTCTGGCCGTGGTAGATGATTTCCAGTCAATTCATCAAGGAGATAAGAGACTTGGGCAACAAGTAAGGAAAATTCCTCCTGTTAATTCCAAGGAGGAATGAGGATAAAGTGAGACAAGAGAAGGAGAGCGACATAGTGAGGGAGAGGAAAGCCATGTATGTGAATAATGAAGAAATAGGGGTATAATGCCCATTGTTTGTCCTCAAACAAATTCTCTGCATTCTAGGATGTTCCCTGTAGTTTACTGTTCAGAAAGAGCCTAATGAATGAGTGCAGCTGCATAGCCATGAATTATTGGGGTACGAAAGCTAGCCATCTGAACTATATTAATACTGACTTTGGTCTTCTTGAGAAGGAAGTCTAGTCTTTAGTGATTAGTGTAGGATCTGGTAATGGGGTATATGTTACCAGTATAGCAGAACCCTGTTTATCCAAGCCTCCATTATCTGGCTCTCCATATTAACCAACCAGCCAGGACACACAGAGGAATATGGGAAATTGATGTCACCTCCATGGCAACACTACTGTAATCATCACATCTTTTCAGCCTTGTAAAATGACCACGACTAGTAAGTGAAAAAGTGTAGTACTGTCATTGGCTGCTAAAATAGAGATTATTAATAAAATAAAAAGGACAGTCCCTGTCAAAAATAGCCCAAGATTATAACATTGGAAAAAGCACAATATTGGACATCAAACACAATATCGAGCAAATTCTTAAATACAGAACGAATAACTCTGCATCTTGGAAGAATAGGAAGCAATTGAAGGACACTGGTCTGGATGAAGCCCTTTATTGGTGGTTTATACAGGCGGGAGAGTAAGGCATTCCTATTTGTGGTCCTTTACTGTTTGAGAAGGCTAAGAGCTTTCATCAAACTTTATGAGGGGATGCATGTTTCTCTGATAGTCAGGGATGGCTCAGTTAGTTTAAAAAGCATCATGACATCCGACAACTGATTATCACTTTTATAAAATTGTACTGTTTGTGATGTCATGTATAAGCCAACTACATAGAGATGGTGCCATTAAACAGACTTTGTACATGGTCCGTATAATGTTCAGGGTTAAAGAGCAAAGCGTGTAAAAATGATCAGTACAACTTGTTAAAAACTCAGGTTGGTTTTCCTGTTAATAAATGTACAAAACACTGTTTTCAAGAATCTAAAGCGTTGTATATACTGTTAAGGTGATAAGAAGGGAGCTGTGTTTTAGTGCTTTTCTAGGAGGGGTCAGCTAGCTTAAAAGCAATGTCGCACCTTAAAATAACCGATAGAAAGCTCTTTGCCCATTCTCATGACTGTCTGAATTTTTGATTGTCCAATCTGGCCCCAGTCCCAATTAGATTGGATAAATGGGGTTCTGCTGTACTTGATAGTCCTGTATTGTTTGCTGGGAGCCATATGTGATCCCTAAGAGAGCTGATCACATAAACATCTGGACTGTGAATTGGACAAGGAGAATTCCCCAAAGCACAGAAAAGGAGGAAAAAATACCAGTATGGGTTAGGGAAGAGAAAGAGACTGACCTCCACAATTCAGTGTAGGCAGAGCTGGTAGCAGTGTCTATATTTAAGTTTGCCCAACGCGTTCCATTAGAAGATTCTCTTTTCAGTTGCTCATGAGTTTCACATACTTCAACCACTTGGACTGAAATTTTCCATGGCAGGTGTCTGCCTCACACTAATTTTGTTTTCGGAAAGTGTCAGCTAAAATAGTTTCACCATTTCTAAGAATGAGAAGAGAAAAATATGTTTTGTCCATGTTAAGAAATGCTCGCAGCTGCTTTGTTGAGACGCTCCAGCAGCTCCAGGCATTCGCACAGGGACTTGAAGTCAATGGGAGCTGCGCTTTGAGCATATAAAGTGCTATATAATCCTAAATACTCTGAAAAATCAGGTCCTAACTATCTCAAATTGGCCACCCAAAATTAATAGACACTTTTGACACTTTTGGGTTTTAATCTCTCTGTTCCTCATCTTGCCATCTGTAAAATGGGGAGAATAATAACCCCTCACCTCACAGAGGTGTGAAGATAAATTCCTTGATGGCTGGGAGCAACTCAGATATTATAGTGATGAGCACTACAAAAACAACCATGAGGAAATGAAAAATTCAGTATTTAGTGCAAGGTTTGGATGGTGCGTGGTAAATAAGGTGGGGAGCCACACATTGAATGATGAGTATAAAAAGAAATATTAAAGAGCTACCCATTCCATGAGCACCATCCATCCATCCTGTGCACTGAACGAGGCTGGGGTCCTCTGGAAAAATCGTACAGATCAAGTAATTAAAACTGTATCATAATGCACGAAGGCTGCACAGGCAGCCTTAACTCTGACAATTCCTAACTTTGGGGTGCTTGACTTTGCCACCTTAACATTCTTTTAATGTAGGCTTTTGTTTTTGTTGTTGTATGTAATTGTATTTAATATGACCCTTGAACTAGTGAATTCTCTAGTAAATATTTGTCTCTCTCCCCATAACCAATCCCATCCCTTTTCTTTATTTCTTCCCCACCACCACTTTATCTACCCTGCACCCCCTTTCTTTTCTCCTTCCACCTCACTACATAAAATAGGTCCCCAATCCTGTACTAGTAGAGCCCCTGCCTCTGGATCCTGTCAGCAGTGTTGGGCGCATTATGCCACCCTCAATTTGCTGCTTGTCTTCCTACCCTCATTACTCAGCACTGAGTAGTGGGCTTGTCACTGGAGGTAAGGTCACCTATTATTTCCGGTGCTGGTGACATTCAGTGATGTGGCTGTGTAGTTCAGACAGGAGGCATGGGGTCATTTGGATGAAAAGTAGCTTTATAGGGATGTCATGAGGGAGAATTATGGGACTGTGATCTCTCTGAGTAAAGATTTATTTTCTCTTATTCCATGGAAGCTGTGTGGTCTCCTGGTGCTAGGTCTGCTCTTGCTCTTGGTTCTTCTCTCATGTCCTAGGCTTGGTCTGCACACACAGTGTGCACTAGTTAAACTAAAAACTTTAAAATTTTTAAATTGCCCATTTACTGAATTAAGCTATATCAACACTGAAAAAATTTACAGCTATGTGAAGAGGTTTGCACTGGTTTAACTAAATCAGTTTAAAAACTGATTTTAGATAATCAGGTGGTAGGTCTGTGTAGAGACAAGCCCTTACACCCCACCTGTCAAACTTTCCAAACTCTACCTGTTAACTTCTGTTCAGACCCCTCTTAGCGCTGCCCTAGGACTAATCAGCATTAAGCGGTGTGACATATGTCCTGCCAGTGAGCTTGTACTGTGGGGCACAGTTGGGCCTTCCGATTGTAGATACTCCTCCCCTGGACCAATCAGCTCTGAGAAGGGTCTGAAAATCACACCTCTCTGTCTCCCAAGACCCCGCCACCCCCGCCCGAGGCACACATCACATGTGTTTATTGTATTACTAGGGGTGAGCCAGCCCCCATGATCCCTTCTGTAGCCTGCCCATGCTCATCTCTACCAGTCTGTCTCAATCTAGGCCCTGCGTAGGCCCAGTTGAGAGTATGAACCAATCGGTGGGACCTTGTGGGTGGTGGGACCTCCAAGATCCACACAAACTAGAGGTGGTTTCTAGGCTGGAAATCTGGCCTGTAGTGCTTAGCCATTGGTTGTTTGGGAGCATTACCCTAGGAGACCTCAAATCCTCAAGGTATGAAAAAAGCCATCTTGTTTCAACAGCATATTTTCAGAAATTGTGGAACATGGACTCCTTCACCACTCCATGAGAGTTACAGAATTTGTTTAGCTCTGAGTATGCTCAGGCATTGCAAATAAAGCACTATGCCAATGACATTTCTGAGGAGGAGATGAAGCCCTCAGGCCCAACCACTGCTGGAGATTCCAGAACATGACCAGGAGACCTGAGTGATCGTGAAGCTGTCTGATGAGTGTGCTGCCAGCCCATTGCTTGAACCCATAGAGGGGAGGCCTCATCTGAGGCTGGGGAATCTCCCTCAAATAATCTGAACTGAAGAGCCATGTCACAGGTGGATAGGGTATAAAATACTGAGGAGGCTGGGAGTATTGGGGGGTAGGAACCGACCAGTTCTTTGTATATTTAAGCAGGAGTTTACCGGTGTTTGTTTTCCAAAAATTTCTTAATAGCTGGACAATGCCCAGAGAACCTGGACAGCATTAGATCAGAGGACACAGATGAAACAGCTCCAAGTTGGTTTTGCTCATCCCTGAGACAAGGTGTTCAAGAGGATGCCGAGAGTGAAGACGAGGATGGCTATATGGCTTTAAGTAGGGCAACTGGCATAGAGCTATCTGAGGCCAGGTCTACACTTAAGAGTCAGGTTGAACTAGCTATGTCAGTGTGAAAAAGTCACACCCCTGATCAATGTCGTTAAGCCAACCTAACCCCCGTTGTAGATGCTGTGAGGTCGAGAGAAGAATAAAGTGCTATAGTAATAAAATGCTATTATCCCTGTTGGATAATGAAAGGGTTAGTGAACTGTACAAAATGTGTCTGGGTAAGTGGTCACCCTGACCAAAACCACAGTCTGGCATGTTTGAGTGGACCCTGGACAAAGCTAAGTGAGAGTGTCTTCTGATGTGAGTGTCTGCCTGGTGGAAACGACTCAACTTAGGGTCCTATATGCTACTAATTTCCTCTCTGAAGACTTTGCAAGGACATGGTGCAGAGGAAGCTTTCATGCACAAGAGGTGGCTTTGAGGCAGGTGATGGTGCAGAGGTGGCTGTTGCTAGAGCCACAGGGGGCAACACTGTAGCTGAAGAACCCCAACGTAGGCCCCACTACCCAGCAATCTAAGCTATTGCCACCACCCCTGTGTCATGTGGTAAAGTGCCAGAGCAGACCAGGCTGCTCCTTCCCTTTGTGGCTAGAGATGGAGCTGCACAAACTCTGGACCCCACCAATCTCAAACAACAAAGAGTGAGTGGGGGGGGGGGAGTGCAGTGAAGAAGTGGGAAGAGGGAAGTGGCTATTGCAGAAATACTTTGCCTTACTGGACACTCACACCAGGAGAGGAGGACTCTGTTGAAGACTGTTGTAAGACACTCTGGAGGCAGGGAGAGTCTTATTTTATTTATATATATGTACACAAATATTGTTAATTAATTATTACTGGCTTTTCCAAGTTTATTCTGTTCCCTTTCCCTGACCAGTGGCTTGCCCATAGGCTGGAGATCCTGGGGCTAAGGTTGCCCTAATTTTACAAGCTGAGAAGAATCAGCCCCACCTGAGAGGAATCAGGTAATTCAAATACAAAAGGCAGCAGGACAGTGCAGGGGTGGATGGCTGAGAGAAGCAGTAGGGACTACAAGAGGCCTAAGTTAGGGACTCCCAGAAAACAAGAGAGTGTGTGGAGCTGGTGAAAGACTTTGTGTTTGCTTTGGGACTTCTGAGATCTGTTTTTGACAAACTCTGTTGCCAGTCTGGTGAAGTGTGAATTAAAGGACTTTTGGGGATAAGAAGGTAACCAGAGACTGAGTGACTTTTTAAAGGGTCCCCGGTGAAGCAGAGATAGAGGTGGGTGGTGATCATGGCACTACATCCCAATAAATCTTTTCTGTTTTGTTTTGTGCAATGAACTCAGGGCTTTCGAGGAGCAAGCAGTGCCTGTCAAAAGCACACAGTAGGGTATTCAGCTTTCCTAGGTTTCTGGGGGGTGGGGTGGGTCTGAAGCTGATATTTAAGTTTTAAAAGGGAGCCTCATAGTAATTAAACCCATCTCTTTTAATTGCCAGCAACACCTGGCAAAAGGGTTAAATAGGAATGTACCCATTCCACTAGTGAACAAACACTTGCCAGGCAAAAGGTATATGGCAGTCAATTATTAAACCAAATTTTACTAACCACACACAAACTAAACAGTTGCAGCTAGCAAAGTATCTTGGGTGATTCTGAGTGTGCATTTTCAACAAGCAGTGCTTCTTAAGGATTGGCTGTGAGGGGGGTGCTCTATGCGGGAATTACAAAACAACCCCTCAGATTTTCTTAACAAAATAGTTAATTTAGTATTCTCTGGCTGTAAACTATGGCAATTTACACCTGCTGAGGATTTACCCCTGAGCTTCCCTCACTTTGCCATGTTGTCAAATTTCAGACACATGCAAACCAACTACAACTGTCTCTCTTTCCCACAGTGTTCCTGATGCCTTTGGCACATGCTGCCTTATAGCCTCGAGTCCTAGGGAAGGAAGTTGTGTGTAAAACTTCTCAGCTCCTCAGTTCATACATAACAGTGAGTTGACAGAGGTGTCTAATTCTTAATTGAATAATAACTAGGGGAAAAATATCCAACAGTCTTCAGAGACTCAAACTATTTTTTATGATCATGGAGGGTTGGATTTAGGGGCAGGTGACCCAGGTGACCACCTGGGTTGCCTCGCTTGGGGAGGCACCAGGCTTTGGGTGCTGTCCTTGTTGTTAGTGACAAAAGGGAAAATAGAATGTTTGAAATAAAATGTTTCAGGTATTCTGTATGTGGATTCATTTTTCACTAATCTCCTAGAATGTTCTGGACCTTTGTAGAATCTTCTGGAACCTTCCAGACGTTCTGAGAACTACATTTTCCTTGAACCTTCTAGAACAGTGGTGGGCAACCTGCCACCCGTGGGCCACAGGCAGCCCATCAGGGTAATATGATTGCGGGCCATGAAACATTTTGCTGACGTTGACCATCCACAGGCACCACCCCACACAGCTCCCACTGGCTGTGCTTCTCTGTTCCCGGCCAATGGGAGCTGTGGGAAGCTGCGCCTGCAGGCAAAGGGACCGCAGGGATGTGCTGGTCGCCGCTTCCCACAGCTCCCATTGGCTGGGAACAGAGAAGCGCAGCCACTGGGAGCTGTGGGGGGCGGTGCCTGTGGACGGTCAACATCAGCAAAATGTCTTGCGGCCCGCAATCAGATTACCCTGATGGGCTGCATGCGGCCCACGAGCCACAGGTTGCCCACCACTGTCCTAGAATGTTGTCAGCCATGCCCTCCTGGGAACATAAGGGACGGGGCATCACCAGTTAGGCAGTAAGATAGAACGAAATGAGAACACAGCTACAATGTTGTGAACCTTGTTTTATTGTTTAATTGTGAAAGTATACTTGTGTTTTAAGACTTGCAGAGTATAAGTAGTGACTAATAAAGGACATTTATATATGGCACGGATAAATACAGATTTATGGATCCTGGAGTGCAAATTTATCTTATATGACAGGGATAAATCACGCATGCAAATCATGCATCAAAATCATGAAATGGGCTACAAATGTAATGAAAAATAAGGTATTCAGAAGTTTAACAAATGGATGGGGGAACGCTGAAGATGCTCCTCGCCTGGGGCCCCATTTAGTCTAGGGATGGTCCTGTGCTCATGGTTGAGGTGCTTTGGCAGATGTGTAGGAGGCATCCCAGGACTGACATGGGAGGGAGCAGAGCAGACCAAGACTGAGGGACAGCAGCAGAGCTGTGGGGAGCTAATGGAATTGAAATAGCAGGGAAGTGGCATATCAGAATTGTGGTGTATTGCTCAACCTGTATTAGAGGCTCAAAGGGAATTTCAAGAATTCCTGAAAGTTAGAATTTGAGGTATTAGCAACATTTTGTTGGAACCTAGGACTGAAGTAGCAAGTGCTGCTGATAGACATACAAATGGACAGCAAAGGGAGAGAACTCAGGCCCCTACCACTGATGGACCGGAATGAACTGCAGTGGGAGAAATGTAGGTGGACCCGGAATAATATGGATGCTCCAGGTTAATCTGATGAATGTGCAGCTGAACAAAAAATGCAGAGGTGAATTTAAACTGGATATCAGGAAACATCTCTTCCCAGGGAGGGATTTTTTAGACTGTGGAATGGTCTCCAAAAGGGAAGAGGTGGGAGCTCCATCACTAAGGACATTTAGACATCTCTGTGTGGTATCTATCATAAGAAAGGGTGTGGGGAAACCTCAGCAACTTCGTTTCATCAGTTTTCACCAGAAGGCACGTGGGCAGATACCTGCTTTATGCAGGCAATCAAGATGAGGTATTGTCAGATACTGAGGTATCAAAAAAAAAAGTAAGAATGAAACAAATTGATAAATCACAGTAACTCAGGGCCAGATGATATTTTCCCAAGAGTTCACTACAGATTCTAGCTAGGAGTGACTGAGCTACATCTCAAAATATGAAATGTGTTATGAAAATACTAGAAGGTAATTTAGCCTGGAAGGTAATCAGTGCTGTAGATATCTTTGGTTTGTTTTCCTGACTCTGTGGAGTAATACCTTACTCTATGAGTAGTCCTATTCATGCACAAGTAGCCCTACTAAAATCAATGGGTCTTCTCAGAGTGCTACTCCATGATAACAAAGCTAGCAGAAGCTGGCCCAGAGAAAGGAACAGAAAATTCAGGTCACAGAAGATGTTTGCCTCATGTGGCAAAGGAAACTTATTTCAGAAATACCAACAAGTATGAAAGAGATAAGCCTGCACCATACCAATTTTAATCTAGCCTTATAGGAAAGACAAGCAACTCTGAATTATCTCTAAAAATTACAGCCACCATTCCATGTGAATAAAGCATCACACTTTCTTCATTGGGTTCTTATCCCAGTTGGGCAGAGATGCCAACTTCTTAGAGATTTCTCCCTTGATGGGCCAGCCCCAAGCCACAAAGAAAGGGGCCAGATTCTTCTTCACCTGCCGAGAGAACTTCTCTGCCCACAGGTTCATCTTGGAAGGATTGTCTGTGGGGATGTTAGACATTGTCTGGTATTCAGAGAAGAGTTGGATGAAGGGTTCCCAGCCAAAGGCTTCCTGAAGCTGAAGAGCATGAAAAAACAGTATTAAAAGTGCATCATACTTCACTAAGGTAACACAAGACACTGCACCTGGTCCCATGTTATGAGGATTAGTGACCAAACCTACAGTTATTGCTAATCACACCTCATGACTATTACATGGTTATCTGATCATGATATCATTTTGGGGTAAGGTACTGAAATTGTATTTCAGTGATCAGAGTTAGGAGTGAGGATGGGGAGGGGCAATTTTACAGTGTATTTCTACTCTGAAAAGAGACTGTTTAAAAAAACAGTACTGGTATGGGACGCCAGGCTTATTTTCTCCCAATAGTTTCAATATCCAATATGCTTAGTTTACAAATAAAAAGATGTTTTGTCTCTCTACCAGCCCCCCCACACCTGAGCTAGGATCTTTCCTTTTCATGTATCATCACTAATAAGAAAGTATACAGATACAGTTAGGCCATCATTAACAGCTGTGAAACATCATTGTGTTACCTACTAGAACATATAGACATCCGACGATGCATAATTCACCTTCCTCTCTCTGAAATGTTGCTGATTATGCAGCACTAACAGGAGTAAGAACTTAGTTTTTACGGCCAGATTTTTCAAACTAGTTAGTCCCCTAAAGATGCTAAGAGGTGCCTTTTGAAAATCCCACTCGGTGCCTATCTGCATTTTTAGGCCCTTAAATACCCTTAAAAATCTCTCTCTTAGTCACTAAAGTGAGGGACTCTAACTCTGCCTGCACACAGGAAGTGTGTCTTAGAGTTTGAAGGTGTCTGTTTTTTTTATATAGTTACTGCTCAGTAACAATTTATCCTGCATTATGAAATGTGCTCGCTGATGTGAATGTGCCACCACTGCCCTCTACTAGACACACTGAAGTAGGTCTGTAATTCCATGTCACTATGTTGTTCTGAGGCCTGTAGAATAAATAAGCCATTTAGTGAATGGAGAGTCTTATTTAGCCCGAACAGGAGGGGCCTGAATTTTGAGGGAGAAGTTTCGGAGTTCTCTCCCCCGCCACCTGCTTCTATGTTTGTGGAACATACAAACCAGCCAGCATCCTTTTAGAATCATTTGCATTCAGACACATTCTTATGAATCTCTCTATGTTACCTGCAGGTAGGTCTCCAGTGCAGTCCAGACATTCCAGTCCTTTAGCTGGGCTCCTTTGCCAAGGTAATCGCTGATTCTCTTCTTGCGGTGCTGCAGCTGTAGGTGTTCGTGGGCTCTGTCCCTGGAGATCCCCAGCACCTTCTCATGCACATAGACAGACCACAGGTTGCAGGTGGCCTCAGTAGTGTGAGGGGGGAATTCCCAGCCTGCCTGCTGCTGGTTGTGTCCCAGCTCATGGATGGGTCCCCAAAGGCCATTCGCTTGCATGTATTCCATGTTCACCAACTCCTTTACTGAATCCAAATGACACATGACTGGGTAGCCAGCATGCATCCAGCCTGGAGGGGGGAGATGGGGCCAACAGTCAAGGTGAGATCTCAGCTCAAGAAAGTTATTCTGTGTTTTTTAGAAGTTGGCAAGTAATTCACAAAGAACAATAAATCAGACCAATTAAATCCTTTGTTGTGGTCTGGAATTATTCTCTGGATAGTTCCTCAAATTAATTTTTTTCAGTGTTAATGGATGAATACTTTAACAGGTCAGTGTGAGTATTTGATAATCAAAATTTGATCCATGTTGTGATTGATAAGTCATCCTGTAATTGCTGTACCTGTTTGGGGGTGTATGTGCAGGCTCTTCCACTGAGAATATTCCCATGCTTAAAATTTCGGTTTCTGCAAAGATTCATGCACGCCTCTCTGAAATTCACTTTCTGTGACCTTTTGTGAGAATGAAACTCAAATGCTAATGGAAATCAGAGCCAAGAGAGGCACAAACTCCACCATGGAGGATGCATTAAAGCAATAGAGCTGATATTCGTGAACATTTTTGTAGTGGTGACCCTGGATCTAATGTTTTTATTGTATTTTAGAATGTTTTAATACCGTGTTCATTACACGGCTCTTTAGAAATAAATGGTCTGAATGTCAGAGATGCTGATCCCCTTGGTTTGGGGACGGGGGGAGGTGGAGAAAAGGAGAAGGGGCAGTATGATTTAGTACTGATAGTTAATTTCTTCGTTACCGTCAATTTCAGCATGAAGAAAGGTGCTGGATTGACAACTGTGCTTGGATAACAAAACACTCAGTAAATCTACAAAAGAGAGAGAGGCTGGTCAGGGAAAGAACAAGCTTCTAAATTACACACCACCTCCTCTCAAGTGATCTCAATTTCTTGGAGGGACCATCCCTTGTGGTGAGAAGTTAGTTCAGTCTTCATGATCCAGTCTGTCCTTGGTATCTGATTCGCAACACGGGGCACAAATAATTCTAATTATGATGGTTGTTTGTTGGTGTGCACGCTAATCTATTGGGGACGGGACTGACATCCACCAAGTAATTTCAGACAGACCACTGAGTCATCCTCAGATGGCACTCAGCATTGTAAAATGCTACATGCTCTGGCCCCGGTCCAGTAAAGCACTTAACAATCAGCAGGAGCATAGCCCCGTTGACATAACTGTACAGCTGGACAAGGATGTATAAGTAGTATGATTAAATTGACCAAGAGACATTTAAAGCGGTGAGATCTACTAACAGAGAATATGGAATAGTCTTCTCCAAAGGAAACTCCATGGTTGGAGTCATTTAAATCTAGGAATGAACAAAGGACTAGAAAGTATATTGTAGGGGGAGGGGGTTGAATTACATTTCCTAAACTACAAATCTGCTGAAGTTCAGTTCACTAATGCATAATTAAGCCAGTCACAATATTTGCTAATTTGGAATTTAGATTTTGACATATACCAAAAGCAAACAAATGGCATTTGTATGGAGCATTTGCCAAGGATCAGTGTGGGTATTCAAGCTTCAGAATTGACGAGGCAGCTCACTAGTGGATTGAATAAATGTACTGACCATTGAATACGTCTTCATTCAGACCAGTTTCTAACTGAGCTAAAATCCGTCTATAAATAGCATATATTTTTCCCTCTCAGTATTTTGACCAGTTCTAGGTGTGTAGAATAATTTTTCACTGGTAAGGAGGGCTGCTGTACTGTGAGTTGGGTACGACCAATTCCTTTCCCCTTACTCCTAGAGTAAACTGAGGCAGCTCGAATAAGAGTGTGCTTGGGAGAGAAGCATCACTATAAATAGAGTTACACTGTTAGAGGGTCCCACTGTATTCTCCACATCTTGTGTCTTGGTGAAAAGCTCAAGAGAGGTTAGTGACTTTCCAAGGTGTCATAATGAGAGTCAGTAAAGAACCAGCATTGCAATTAAAGAGTTCCTGGCTCTCAACCTCCAATTCAATCCTTTACCCCAGGGTGTTGCTCTTTTGCCTTTTATGACAATACACCATACTCACCAGCTGAAATCTGAACATCTGCTACAATCCTTTCTGGCCGAGGGAACTTGGCTGGTGTAGCAGCCAGCTTAGCTACAGCTGTCATAATCTGCTCCCAAAGGGTTAACAAAGGCTCGGGATCTTCTATGGGACGGATGCTGTCAGCAGGCACCGTTAAGCTGATGTTCTGGGTAGCTAGTTCTGCCCACGGAGCTGGATAGTGACGGATGCAGGTCAGCCACTGGCTCTTAGATGTCTTTCCTGCATCAGTATGGGAGAGAGAGATTAAGTGCACAAATCCCATGATGATTTGGTTCCAGGTCAGTTGGGTATAGCTGATTTCATTTTATATTTTAATATAAATTAAAATACTTGGGGCCCTTGGAATCCTTAAAGATGAGCAGAAGCTACTTAAGTAACCTCATGATTTGATTTGATTTATTATTCTTCGTCCCCTCCTGTTTTTGGTTGCAGTCTCTCAAAGACTGATCCAAAGTCCATTGTAGTAAATGGAAACCCACCCACTGTATTCATTGGTTTGTGGACTGCGACCCTGTTACACCTTTTTTCAAATTGGATTATAAACTGTTTGAGGCAAAAGTGATCTGTTGTTCTGCATTTGTACAATGCCAAGCACCATGTGGCCTTGATCCTGATTGGGACCTTCAAGAGCTGCTATTGAACAAATAATGATATTTGACTTTTCTCTTTTCTAATTAGTGTTATAGTTAACAGCCAGAAATGAAAAAAATAAGTGTTTTTCTGTTTAATATGAAAACTAGGGGCTGAGGAGCAATTCAGTCCACTAATTGCAATGAAATGTCATTTGTTCTCACCAGGGCTATATAAATAAGAAACACTACTAATTTCTTTTTTAAAGAGAATTTTGCCATGAGGTTAAATCACATTTGAACACAAGGAAAACACTTTGAATACATGGGAACAAGATGTTCAAACTATTTTTGATTCAAGAATGATTAGTGATATTAATTTGTGAGCCAAATTCGGACTCTGTGTGTCCTATCCCAATCCACTGACTTCAGTGGACCCCTCTGAACGTACAGCAACTCTAAATTTGGCCTTGTGCATCTATAAGAAAACTTAAAGCAGCCTGAGATTTTGCTGGATTCATCTAGCTCAGTCGTTCTCAAACTGTTTTAATGGGGTTGCCAGGGCCGGCGTTAGACTTGCTGTGGTCCGGGGCCGACGCCTGAGCCCCATCACCTGGGGTCGAAACCCAAGGGCTTCAGCCCTGGGCGGCAGGGCTCAGGTTACAGCCCCCACCCCCACCCCAGGGCTTAAGCCCTTGACTTCTGCTTTGCCCCCCCCCCGGCTTGGGGCGGTGTGGTTTGGGCAGACTCAGGCTTCAGTCCCTCCTCCTGGGGTCATGTAGCAATTTTTGTTATCAGAAGGGCGTCCCGATGACTAAAAGCATGAGGCTATAATCTCCTCTCCCTGCCAATGTTGGTTTCATCTTCTGCCTTTATCCTCTTCCCGGATCACATTTTAAGGTGCTATCAAAGTAACCCTTATTCTTGCTCTAATATCTGGTGAGAAACAAAATCTGGTATCAAGTTGGCAGAGATACACTATTCTGTCCAACAGAGGAGAATAAGGTTTAGTGAATACACAGATGACCAGGAAGAAGGCAGCTAAAAAAGATCTTGCTCAGAAGTGGCACTAGACTTTAAACAAGCAACATGATAAAACTGATCAAGCCTAAATCATGGATAATTAGAGAGGCACTTCTCTGTGTCTCTTCACGATCATCATCATCAGCAGCAAAACTGGCTAAGAAGAGATGTGCAGACCATTTACCAGCACACTTACCAAGCCTGAAGAAAGGAGCCTGCACAGCCCCTTTTACAGTGATAGACACTCCCCCCAGCAGGCTTCCCTTTGGCACTATGATGTAAATGAGGCCCCCCCAGAGAGAGGAGACTGATATCTTCTGATCTTTGACATCACATCTGTGTATTACCACAGGGGGGCGTTTCAGCTCCTCTGCTCTGCTGAGGTCATCTGAGTGACACCCAATCTGCACCTGGAAATGAAAAGGTTGCTTGGTTATGGGAACAATTGAGTAATGAACTTTACCAACCATTGTTTAAACACTTATCCAGGTGGGACAGCTTCAACAGGAGAGACTGCGGGAGCCCCACACCAGAATATCCCATAGCCCACTGGTTAGAGCACTGCCCTGAGAAGTGCTAGTCCCTGTTGAAATACTTTTTGCCCCATCAGGCAGAGAGGGGAATTGAACCTGGATCTCCCACATTCTGGTTGAGTGCTCTAATCACTGGGCTGTGTAGGCAAGATACGGGGAGGGGGGTCGGTGCAATGCCGATCTTCCCCTGCTTTGTGGATCATGCTGGGACTTATGCGGGAGAGAGGTGTCCGGACACTTGGAGGGAGGTGGCAGTTTGCGTGCCCAAAGGCAGAAACCCAGGTGCCCAGGGAAACTGAACCCTGAAAATGTAGGCACCAAATGAGTTTTGTTTCTTACAGCATGAGGTGGCAGCCAAGGAGGAGTTTTGTGGATTGCAGTGGCGCCTAAAGCTGGGACTAAGGTGCCTAAATCTTGGGTTTAGGCACTTCAGACCCATTGTGGAGCTGGGTCCTAGCTCCCCTGGATTGCAATGGGAGTTAGGTGCCTACATACCTTTCAGGATCTAGGCCAAGGAGACAGTTATAATTTAGGCTATGTTTTAGTCACGGGTATTTTTAGTAAAAGTAATGGACAGGCCACGGGCAGTAAACAAAAATTTACAGCCTGTGACCTGTCCATGACTTGTACTGTATACCCTGACTAAAATTTGGGTGCTCGCTGGGAGGGGTGGCCCTGGGGTGCCACAGGTGCTGTTGGGGGGGGGGGGGGCGGCCCGGGATTTCCACTGGCACTGGTGGGGGGGCAGGAAGTGGCCCGGGACCCCCGCTGGTGTTGGGGAAGCTAGAGGAGGGCTGGCAGGCTACCAGGCTCCATGCGGCTCCCGAAAGAGGCCGGCATGTCCCTGCAGCCCCTAGGCTGACACGTGGCCAGGAAGGCTCCACGCGCTGCCCCCACCCCGAGTGCTAATGGGTTCCCGGCCAGCAGGATCTGTGGGGGTGGCGTCTGTGGGCAGAGGAAAAACAAGAGCCGCCTGGCTGCACCTCCGCCTAGGAGCCGGACATACTGGCTGCTTCCGGGGATTCCCTGAGGTAAGTGCTGCCCAGAGCCCTCACCCACTCCCACAACCCAACCCCATGCCTCTGCCCTGAGCCCCCTCACACACCCAAATTCCTGCTGCTGCTGTGGGGAGGGGCAGAGGTGCTGAAACAATTTGTATAGTGGGGGTGCTGAGAGCCATTGAACCAAACTGTAAACCCTGTAAGTGATGGAAACCACTACAAGCCAGGGGGTGCAGCACCCCTAGTTCCAGCACCTATGGGGAGGGGTGCAGTGGCCTGAGACTGCCCTAGCAGCAGCTGGTGTGGCTGGCCTGGGGGCTGCCCGAGTTGCTAAGGTGGCCCCCAAGACAGCCGTACCTGCCGCTGCAGAAGTCACGGAGGTCCAGAAAGTCACAGAATACGTAACTTCTGTGACAGACTCGCAACCTTATTTATAATCAAATGGAATTAATGGAGCAATGATCTGATACGTGGGCTTTACAGACCTCACTGTTCTGTCTTTCTGTTTTAGAGTCTGTATTTAAAGTGGCCCCACAAAGCATAGGGGTAAAAACGTATAAGCAGTGGCATTTTATTACATCTCCAGTGTGTCATTTGATCAACAATTATTAACACTTTGTGCTTCAGTAGCAGCTTCCATCTGAAGCTCGTATCACACTTCACACGCATCAATGAGTTAAACTTACAAAAGCCCTGCGACAGAGGGTGCATTAGCTCCATTTTACAGAGGAGGAAACTTAGGCACAGACAAATGGAAGCCTGGCTTTTCAGAGGTGCTGAGCACTCACGATTCCAGTGAAATCAATGGAAACTCACAAGTTATTTGCCTAAGGTCCCAGGACTCTTAGTCCTGGCCTGTAATCTTTGCTCAATGGGTCTGCATGGATTATTGTTATTAAAAGTCTGCCTCCAGCCACAGATGGCTCATCAGGTTGATGCAATTTAAGATGGATCAGTTTCCATAACCAAGGTACACAAGGCAGTGATGTGACAGTGCGCATCACCTCTGACCTTCTTTGACTTCCCTAACCCTATTGAGCAGGGATCATTTTACAGCTGGGTGAACTGAAGGAAGATTTTCAGTGTGAGATCCAGTGACAGTCGGCCCCACAAGCACCAGGATTCTAGTCAAGCATTGTAATCACTTAGCTGTCCTACCTCATTATTGATATTAACCATGTATTAATATTATAGCTAATTGAGAGCTCCAAGCTTGGGGGTACACTGTGCAAGGAACTATTATCCACATCCTGAAAGGTATTTAAGCCCCCAACTTCTACTGATTTCACTGCGAGTTAGGGGCCTAAATTGCTTTTGGGGATCTGGGCGTAAATAAATACATAAGATGATTTGGGTCCTAAACCAAAGAGCTTAACATTTATGGGGCAATTCATTAGAACTTAGTAAACAATTCTCTTAACGCACAAGAAGACATAGAATCTAGCTCCCTCTCTGCTGCCTGTGTTTGCTCTGCATGGTAAATGCTCCTGCAAAGCAAGAAGACATTACCTTTCCACAGAACTGAATATCCTCCAGGAGCAGCTTTGATTAGGAAAAAAGCTTTGGCTTACATAAAATAAGGGCCATCCACATCCTCAAAAGAAATGAAGAAATGTACAATACGGTGTCATTTTTTATGTAATCACATTTCTGAGTAGAACTACAGTTTAAGTAAAGTAACGGGCATCAGAAAGGATGATTAGTTCACCTGAAGGCCAACTCCAGTAACAGTGCTAGGAAATATAAAGGTCACTGTGTTCCCACGCGGAAGATAAAGTCCTGTGCTCCTCCATGCTGCATCACCTGGCATAAAACACAGAGGACAGGTCTAAATACAGAGCTATTCTTAAACACCTCCGTCTGTTTTCCAATCTGAAAGGATCAGGAGAATGGCATGGCCAGTTTGCATGAGGACGGATCTCCTCTCAATGAATGCCATCGGGGGGCAAAGAGTATTCATGTGAGATGAGCAGGGGAGGGCTAATACTTCCTGCTGCATTCTCCTAGGAAATTAACTTCTTGTTTATAACATTACCATTATGCAGGCATTGTAACAACATGATTTGTACGATATTCTGCTGCTGATGTCAGAGCTGCAAGCAAAAGGGCAAATTACAATCCTTCAGTCTGGTTTCTTTAAACAACATCATTCAGGATGCTCAGTCCTGGGTCCTTGCTCCTTACCACAAACCAAATGAACTCCCTTGGGCAAAAATCTAAGGTCTCCAGTGTAGGAAGGTATGGCAGGAGCGAAGACCTTTCTGGTCATTGCACACTACCTGCACATTAGATTATATTATATGCATATGCCACTGCCATAACACTCCATGCTTTTCTCTGAATTGAACAGGAGGTGAAGCTCAGCGAGGGATACCAGTCAAAATATGAAACCTTAAACTGTTGTCTCAGAAATGTAAAAACAAGGAGATGTAACAAATATAGCTACTCCACAAAGAAGAAACCCACCTTAGAGGGGGATGGATGAAAAGCCTGTTAAATAATGTTTTCAAAGAAGCAGAATTACTGTGATTTCCAGATTTCCAGTGATTGTCACTCCTGAAGATTAAGATGCGTGAGGGCTAGGCCAAAAGAAGAGACAGCAGTTTTAACAGTGATATGGGAAGTTGGTGGTGGTTGTTAAAAATGTTACAGGGTAGACTAAGAGAACAGACCAGTACCAGGGAGACTTTTTAGTCTGAATAGTAACATTCAATGGGAGAGGAGGAAAGGGGAAGAAACCCAACTTTGATTAGGAAAAATCTTTGGCTTACATAAAATAAGGGACATCCACATCCTCAAAAGAAATAAAGAACTTCTCTGGAGGCAGGAGAACTGGGCCTCTCCCCTATTTTGGAACTAAGTTCTGGAATGCAGAGAGTCCAAGGTGGGCTTCTCAACACAAACAAGCAATAAGGCTGTAGGAGCACGTGGAGAGAGGACCATATTGCTCCTTTGCTGATGAATTCAGAGAAGAGAACTACAAAATTGCTAGTTGTGGCAGCTTTCCCTGTGACTAAATTTACATTGACACAGCCTTCTAGTGTCATGCTAGGGCGGGGATGCCAGAAGATGTACGTTGATACCCATTTAGACAAAGTCTTCTTAGCAAATAGCACTGTCCAGTGAATTGGTATCAAATGAAATAAAAAGTTACTTGGACTTTCTAAGGGTTTTAGTCTGCTCCAAGTAGCATCCTAAGGACCTTTTAAATCAAGTATATGAAAAAGCATTTCACCCACAATGACATGCAGGCATGGAATGAACATTGGCAGGCCAATAGGCTCAATAAAGTGACCTTCGGATACCACCTTGGAGACAAATATAGGACTGTGGGCAAAAAGTAGTTCATCCTGGACAAATTCAAGATAATATAGCTTGATTAAAACATGCATTTATCAAAAAGCAGATGATTTCAAAAACAGTGATAATAGACAATAATTAGACATGAACTTACACTGGTATGAGACAGCAAAATGGCAAATATGAATTTTGGGGCTACATGGGCAGAGGTTTAATTACATTGTAAAATATGAGATAAGGGTCTCTTTCTCTGCTTTTCTGGTGACCTCACCAGAAATACTGGATTCAGTATTGGGCACCTCTGTTCCATGAAGATATCAATAAAATGGAGGAATATAGAGAAAAGCAACATGAATGATTAAGGCAGTGCTTAATTTGTGCAAGCGTTTGCCAAGGCTTAGCCCCAGCACCTCTGGGCTTGTCAGTTCATAGGCCCGGCACCTCTGGGCTTGCTGCATCGGTTATGAATGTAAAAAAATTGCTTGAGCCCCAGCACCTAATTGCTTGAGCCCCATAACCTTTCATTGCAAACTGAACACTTGATTAAGGGGCTGGAGGGAATTTGCTGATGAAGATTAGGAAGGAAATGGGTAAAGGGAAATCCTGTCCTGGTGGCAAAACTCATTGAGTTGAGTTGGGCCAGGATTTTACCTATCGAGTTTAGCCAAGTGATGCCTAAATATGGAAGTAGAAGGGGCTTTCTTTGAAATAGAGCTGATCAAAAATCAGGGTAAAATAGGAGAAACTTTTGCAGATTTTCATCAAACTGGTTAGAAGATGGAGGAGAAAGACCAGCCAATTGTTTTTCTTGGCTTTTGTTGAAAAAATTTGTTGACAAAAAATTCCTGAAAAGTTCTAATTCGAAAGCTGTAAACTCTGAGGAGAGCAATTGTTTAGGGTGCTCCAAAGGGGTATAATTAGCAGTAATGGCATGAGGCTGATGAAAGTAAATTAAGGCTAAATGTTTAGAAATGTTTCCTGATGGTGAGGTGTATTAGATCATGGATCAGAGAAATTACAGAAGTCCCATCACTCAAATAATTTAAAACTGGATTAGATAAAAATGGAGAATTGACTTTAGGGGAAAGCCTAAGTTGGGTCCTGAAGCAGAAGCTAAATGTAACCCAAGAGGTTTCCATCTTTAGCAGCTCTGTTCTGCACACAATGTGACAGGTGTGATCACGGCTATGGAGGGTTATACACTGTTATACTCTGTGTTCTACAGGCCATTCCATGTTGAAACAGGGGGAGGGGAGATTCGTGAGGAAGGACAGATTCTCTCACCTGTATTTGTGCAGTTGATTTCCACAGTGGTGCTAGGGACTGTGGGGAGTTCGCAGAGTGCTAGCCTCGCACAGTCGGACATGGATTGGCATAATGCTGCAGCCACATGAAGCAGCATGACCTCCTTGGAGTTCCCCTTGACTGCGTGTTCCTTGCTCACTGGTGGGATCCCATTGCTCTGCACCATCATGTACAGGATGTGGTACAGTGAGGCATAGATGTGGCCATTTTTGACTGGGATCTGAAGGACTTTGGCGCAGTCCTGGCTCAGTTTCTGAAGCCAGCCTGCCACTGGGGGCTGGGGATCCTCCTTCTTGTCTAGGTGCTGCTGGAACTGAGCGAGTGCCCTGCGGAAGTGGTAATGTCCTTGCTGCTCTTCGGGTCGTAACACTGGGTACTTGCCTGCCTCCTTGGTTTCCCCCAGGATGCTGATCCCGAACCCATTGAGGATTTTGTTGCCAGGATATTCAGCCAGAACATTTCGGCCCTCATTCTGAGAAGCCCACCACCAAGCCTGACCTCCAATCAGCAGGCCCCCTCCTTCTGCCACAAACTCATGAATCTTCTTGGCCTCATTGTCACTGTAGGACTGGCAGCAGTAGATGCTGAGATTGTCGGTAAGCTCTGAAATCTCACATACCACCTGCCTTTGAGTCAGCAGGTCATGAAGGTTCTTCAAATTGGGATTGATGCCAATTCTCCCTTTCTTCTCAGCACCCAGCCAGTGAATGGCATTGAGGATGAAGTCTGTGAGCTTCGGGGTGCTAAGATGGACCTCATGTGTAGCCACCACCACACGGCCCCGGCCATAGTGAGCTGCTGCAAGAAAGCATCGATAGGTGCCATCCAAGCCAAGGGGGAAGGCCAGTGTGCCATGGACCAGCAGGTGAGAGGGGACACCATCTGTCACTATGTCTAGCTCTGACACACCTTTTAGGAGAAGGTTTAAGTCTCTGCTGAAATCTAGCCCATGCCTGCAAAACCAAGAGATGTTCCTGTCAGGTCACATGCCAGCACTGTCATAGTGTCATGAGATGGAAGAGGAAGATTGTATAGTATCTCTGCTCTGCCCTACAGCATATCCAAATATTCTGAAATCACTTCTACAAAGATCTCTTCATTTTGAGATCTACTGATGGAAACTTCTACGAAATTAACTGCCTTCATCTGAGAGACAATTGCCTTTAGTTGCAATTGTTCTGAATAATCATTCTAAAGCAGGGGTTCTCAAACTTCATTGCACCATGGCCCCCTTCTGACAACAAAAAGTATTACATGACCCCAAGCGGTGGGACCATAGCCCAAGCCCTGCAGTGCCAGGTGGGTGGGGGCAAAACTGACATCCAAAGTCTGAGCCCCGCTGCCCCAGGCTGAATCCATGAGCTCTGGCTCCGCATGGTGGGGCTCAGGCTTTGGCTTGAGCCCCAGGTCTCATCAAGTCTAACACCAGCCCTGGTGACCCCATTAAAACAGGATTGCAACCCACTTTGTCTCCTGACCCACAGTTTGAGAACTGCTGTTCTAAAGCAAAGTGAGCCTCTTATCCTCTTACCCTACACTGTTCTGTGGCAATTTCATGTCACTTTTTCCTATCCCTTTATCCTATGTGAAGTGGCTTGGCAGAACCAGTGCAGCAGAGGGTAAGGAGATGAGAATGAGAGATACAAAACAGAACAGGGTAAGGGGATGCATAAAGAGAGATGAAATACCGGATGGCAGAGCAGAGGATAAGGTATGATGGATATTTTGTATTCATTGGTTCTGAGCTAATTTATGTAATCAGAACTTAGAGAATTTCCTTTGCACAGCAGTAAAGGGCTCATTGTATTTCAGAAAAGTGTGCAACAGTTTTGTCATGAGATCATCCATGCTTTATATGTAAACAGACATTTGTGGAGCACAACTACTTAAAGGTTAATTATTGTTCGTGGTTCTATATTAAATCAATATTTCAGATCTCAAATAAGTAACAGGATCCCTGCTTACTGAAATACACACAAAAAAAGTTAAAGGATTTACTTATTTCCCTTGTCTCATACTTAGAACTTCATGAGTCACCTGAACTCATTCAGAGCATCAGAGCCCCCAGAAGTCAAATGTTTCCTCAAACTTCTTTAGCAGGATTCAGAGTAACAGCCGTGTTAGTCTGTATTCGCAAAAAGAAAAGGAGTACTTGTGGCACCTTAGAGACTAACCAATTTATTTGAGCATAAGCTTTCGTGAGCTACAGCTCACTTCATCGGATGCATTCAGTGGAAAATACAGTGGGGAGATTTATATACACACAGAACATGAAACAATGGGCGTTACCATACACACTGTAAGGAGAGTGATCAGGTAAGGTGAGCTATTACCAGCAGGAGAGCGAGGGGCGGGGGGGGAACCTTTTGTAGTGATAATCAAGGTGGGCCATTTCCAGCACAAATCCAGAATACAGACTAACACGACTGTTACTCTGAAACCAGCACAAATCCAGGTTTTCTGTCCCCCCACCCCACTCTCCTGCTGGTAATAGCCTATCTAATAAGATAAGGCTGTGCCTTGCACCTGGAGTGTGCCTTGCACCTGGAAAAGAATAGGAGTACTTGTGGCACCCCAGAGACCAACCAATTTATTTGAGCATAAGCTTTCGCTGTAGCTCACGAAAGCTTATGCTCAAATAAATTGGCTAGTCTCCAAGGTGCCACAAGTACTCCTTTTCTTTTTGCGAATACAGACTAACACGGCTGTTACTCTGAAACCTGGAAAAGAATGTGAACCAGTCACTCCTCCATCTGCACAAGCTGGCAACTGACAAGAATGACCCTCATTTTTGTGACTTCATTGAAGATAAGGCACACCCTTATCTTATTAGACAAGCTATTACCAGCAGGAGAGTGGGGTGGGGGGAGAGAAAACCTTTTGAAGTGATAAACATCCATTTTTTCATGGTCTGTGTGTATAAAAACATCCTTACTGCATTTTCCACTTTTATGCATCCAATGAAGTGAGCTGCAGCCCACAAAAGCCCACGCTCAAACAAATTGGTTAGTCTCTAAGGTGCCACAAGCACTCCCTTTCTTTTTGCGAATACAGACTAACACTAACAGACTAACAGGCTGCTACTCTGAAACGTGTGAGGAACAGTAAGGGGGGAGAGGGGAATAAACATGGGGAAATAGTTTTACTTTGTGTAATGACACATCAACTCCCAGTCTTTATTCAAGCCTAATGTAATGGTGTCCAATTTGCAAATTAATTCCAATTCAGCAGTCTTTGTTGGAGTCTGTTTTTGAAGTTTTTTTGTTGAAGAATTACCACTTTTAGGTCTGTAATCGAGAGACCAGAGAGATTGAAGTGTTCTCCTACTGGTTTTTGAATGTTATAATTCTTGACATCCGATTTGTGTCCATTTATTCTTTTACGTAGAGACTGTCCAGTCTGGCCAATGTATAAAGCATTGTGCTACCTTAAGGGTTAAATGCTAAATACCAAAGCCAAATGCTAATTATTTGTGTCTGGCAAAAAGTGTCTGTCAGTTTTGCCACTTTAAATGAAAGATTCAAATGGATTTTTATAATGCCACTAAAAATCCATTTGAATCTTTCATTCAAAGTGGCAAAACTGACAGACACTTTTTGCCAGACACAAATAATTAGCATTTGGCTTTGGTATTTAGCATTTAACCCTTAAGGTAGCATAATGCTTTATACATTGGCCAGACTGGACAGTCTCTACGTAAAAGAATAAATGGACACAAATCGGATGTCAAGAATTATAACATTCAAAAACCAGTAGGAGAACACTTCAATCTCTCTGGTCTCTCGATTACAGACCTAAAAGTGGTAATTCTTCAACAAAAAAACTTCAAAAACAGACTCCAACAAAGATTGCTGAATTGGAATTAATTTGCAAATTGGACACCATTACATTAGGCTTGAATAAAGACTGGGAGTTGATGTGTCATTACACAAAGTAAAACTATTTCCCCATGTTTATTCCCCTCTCCCCCCTTACTGTTCCTCACACGTTTCAGAGTAGCAGCCTGTTAGTCTGTTAGTGTTAATCTGTATTCGCAAAAAGAAAGGGAGTGCTTGTGGCACCTTAGAGACTAACCAATTTGTTTGAGCGTGGGCTTTTGTGGGCTGCAGCTCACTTAATTGGATGCATAAAAGTGGAAAATGCAGTAAGGATGTTTTTATACACACAGACCATGAAAAAATGGATGTTTATCACTTCAAAAGGTTTTCTCTCCCCCCACCCCACTCTCCTGCTGGTAATAGCTTGTCTAATAAGATAAGGGTGTGCCTTATCTTCAATGAAGTCACACAAATGAGGGTCATTCTTGTCAGTTGCCAGCTTGTGCAGATGGAGGAGTGACTGGTTCACATTCTTTTCCAGGTTTCAGAGTAACAGCCGTGTTAGTCTGTATTCGCAAAAAGAAAAGGAGTACTTGTGGCACCTTGGAGACTAGCCAATTTATTTGAGCATAAGCTTTCGTGAACTACAGCGAAAGCTTATGCTCAAATAAATTGGTTGGTCTCTGGGGTGCCACAAGTACTCCTATTCTTTTCCAGGTGCAAGGCACACTCCAGGTGCAAGGCACAGCCTTATCTTATTAGATAGGCTATTACCAGCAGGAGAGTGGGGTGGGGGGACAGAAAACCTGGATTTGTGCTGGTTTCAGAGTAACAGTCGTGTTAGTCTGTATTCTGGATTTGTGCTGGAAATGGCCCACCTTGATTATCACTACAAAAGGTTCCCCCCCCGCCCCTCGCTCTCCTGCTGGTAATAGCTCACCTTACCTGATCACTCTCCTTACAGTGTGTATGGTAACGCCCATTGTTTCATGTTCTGTGTGTATATAAATCTCCCCACTGTATTTTCCACTGAATGCATCCGATGAAGTGAGCTGTAGCTCACGAAAGCTTATGCTCAAATAAATTGGTTAGTCTCTAAGGTGCCACAAGTACTCCTTTTCTTTTAGCAGGATTCTGGCTTTATTTCTTTCCTGTTAATTCCTTTTTCCTCCCCGAGTGATAAGAGCCCACATACCCCCTAAGAGGGTTGGGGATGCAACGGTAATGGGATTCTGTGGGGGGGTCCAGGTGAAGGTGGTTGGAGCTCAGCGTGGGGGTCTGGATGTGTGGGGGATAGAGATTGGCAGGGGGGTCTTGGTGTGGCCATCTCAGCGGTGGGGGGTGTCTAGATGCTGGAGGAAGTGGGGCTGAGTGGGGTGGAGATCCAGATGCAGCTGGTTGGGGCTTGGTAGGGTTGGGATCCAGGTGCGGGTGGCTCATGGGGGTAGTCCAGATGCATGGAGAGTGGGGCTCGTAAGGGGGGATTCTGGGTGCAGGTGGGGTGAGGCTTGGCAGAAAGGTCTGGGTATGAGGGGCTCTGGATGCACAGGGGTTGGGTGGATGGGGGAGCAGCTCCCTGTACAGGGATCCCTCCCCCTGCAGCTGAGAAGCGATGGGTGCAGGAAGCATAGGAGTGGCAGGGAGAGTTTTCAGAGCTTCCTACAGCCAGGGGAGAAATCTGGGGGTGGATCTGACACAATCCCAGATGCCGTGCAAGTGAAGAGGAAGTCCCGTCCTTCCAGCCCAGGGACTAGCAGCTGAGTCTGGAGCAGGGTAGGAACCCCCAGCCCCACAGTGAATTCCCTCTCTGCTGGCTGCCCTGGGCACCTGCTGGGGAGGCTCTCATGACCACTCTTGTGGCTTCCCTTTGCTTCCCCATCAGAAAGTCATTTTTCTGCAGGGAAGCAAAGAAGTCTGCAGGGGACATAAAATCTGTGCATGTGCAGTGACCTAGAATTCCCCCAGGAGTAAGTTTCTTACAGCTTTAATTACAGGTTTTAATACGTAGGAAATTATTTCAGATACTCACGGAGCAATCAAGGGAATTGCAGGCACTTTGTCTGAGACGCTGAAGATCCCCCTCTCACCATATATATCCGTGAAATAAACGCCGCCCACGCTGGTTACGTGGTTCCCAGGGAAATCGAACAGCACTCTCTCTGCACTGTGTCCAGAGGCCCAGTGCCAAGCCTGACCCCCAATGAGCAGACCCCCTCCTCTCTTCACAAACTGGATCAGCTCCCTCCCCTGTGCTGCATCATAGGCATCCATACAGTAAACCCCAAAAGAGGCAATGAGCTCTGTACTGGGCTGCACTTGGGTGCCAGAACTACTGAGAATGCCCACCAGGGAGCTCAAGGTCTTCTGGACACCAACCACCACTCCTGGGGAGGGACTGAGCCAACCCACAGCATTGCGTAGGAACCGAGACATCTTGGGAGACCCCAGGTAGCTCTCATGGGAGATGACCACCATCCGGCCCTTCCCATACTGTGAGGCGGCAATCAGGACCTGCCCCCGGGGGTTCACCATCACTGGGAAGGCAGTCTCACCAATGAGCAGCAGCTCACAAGGAACAGAGTCACCAGTAAGATCCCAGTCCTGGACACCATCCACCAGCAAATCATAGGCAGCTGAAGGATCCATGTTCAGCTTTGTCTTGTCTACAGGAAAGACAAATAATAGTTTTTCTTATACTAAAGACAGTCAGAAGAGGAGTTATTTATCCTTCTTTGCCTCTACTGGATTAGTGTGAAGGACGCTCAGATACAAGCACAGGCTACAATCAACATGTCTCATTCCTAGAGATAGAAATTTACCTGCCTCCACCTCCTCCCCCACCAGTTGCTCACCGAAAATGCTTGTTTAGACCCGCTTTGGGGGTAGGTGACTGGGACACTGTCAAACCAGCTCAGGTTAGGATCAGCGGACGAGTAACCTGTGTATGAACCTAAAGGCATGTTGAGAGGCATTGCAGTTGTAATCAGGACAATACACTTGTGTGTGGGCATCAAAGAGATACTAAAAGGGATTAACAGGCTAAGCCCATTCACATGTGTTGATAAGAAATCAAGGAAGACACTGTGTGTATGTGTGTCTATATCCTGTAACTGTAATTAATCTTAAGATCAAAGGTGTGTACATACCGCATGAATTAAATGAATATTACCTATTTTGTCTTCAGCTGATCTATTCCTGTTATAATGAATGACCAGCAATTGATTATATAAATCAGTGTGGCTAGATTACCTATTTCTGTACAGGAATTAGAAGGTGAACTTGAACAGGTGTGTCGTTGTGGGCTCAACAATGAGAAATCTTTGGACACATGCTGTGCTCAGAAACACTTGGTAGCCTGTTTCAGCTATAAAAGAAAAACCTCGGGCATGATCTTGCCATCTCTTATCTGCTGAACTTTAAACAGGGAAAGTTTGAACCACTGGGTGGAGATCATCAAGTTATTACTTGGGATGCCCTGAAAGAGTAATGGAAGGACTCTATCAGACTCTAAGCTACCCATTTGGGCTCTAATCTTTTGGATGTACAAGAGAGACTTATTGCAGAACAGCAGATTATAGGATCATTACAGGATTGGCTAAACACATTGTCTTTGGGGTTAGATCTAAGGTACCAATTGACCTGGGGTAAGTGACAGGTCTCTTGGGCCTGGAAGCAACCTGAATGTGGTGGGATTTTCTTGGTGTCAGTGACCATTTCTCACTAAATCCAGTTTGTCTGGGTGGCAAGATAGACTGGAGAGTCAAAGAGGACTGTCTGTGACTCCATGGTAAGAGTGTTAAAGTGATCCAGGAGTTCATGTTTGTTGCTGGCCTGGTGAAATCTACTTACAGGACATACAACCAGTTTGGGGTAACTGCCCTGTATTTGAGTCTGTCCTGAGGTAGGTACTTACGGTTGTGAGCCACTCCAGACAGCAAGAGAGGGTGTTCACCCCATATCAGCCTGGAAAGGGTTAATGAGTTTGAGAAGTGGACCACTGAACCTGATAGGCCACAACTGAGGGGAATTAGACTGGATAAGCAACCCCTGGTTGGGAATAGAGCCAAGCTGAGAAGGACAGGTGGGGCTATAATAGAGCCAGGAAGCAGGCAACAGAAGAGGGTCTGAAGTGTGGAGGACTGTGGCCACTCTCCAGTTGTAGAGAGAAAAAGGAGGAAACCCAGGGGAGAATAGAAGTCCTGGTGTTATGAGAGACCTGGACTTGACATGACCTGCAGCCATGTTGTATATGGATTGAGCATAACCTGCAGCCAGTTTGTATGCCCAGCCACCATTACTTGGAAACAGAAACCATAGTAAATTTGGCCTTGGCTTAGAATCCCAGCTGTAGCATTGATAACTGGGTAGATAGAGGAAAATCACAGTTTCATGGGAATAGAAGGGGTTATGGAGAAGCTAACCTTTAGTTTCTGCATGTTTCTTACTGGGTGCTTGTGTGAGGTTTTTGTGAAAAGCTGCTTTTTCTGGTAAGTAGAAATTGTGAGGTTTTGCTGTCACTAGAGAAATTGTTTGAGCCCATTAGGAGTTCTGATTGGTTACATTTATTGCATAGTCATACTTTAAGTAAACTAATTGGTTTGGGTATAGATAAGAGAACTCTCATTTTACCTATGTAATGAGGGTTAGAAGAGAAGCCAGTTGGAGCCTAACTCTGGGACACTCCTTAAGACCAAAGCTGCTGGAACTCTTACACCCTGCATGACCATACCATGGAGCAGCAAGAGCCCCAGGTGAAATCTGATCCTGACTAGCCATCAGAAAAAATCTGTCTGCATTATTAGGAGTGGTGAGCATTTGATGCTTGGCATGTGTATACTATTAAATGCTAATAAATGTACGTTAAGGATATTTATTATGTAAAGGCTCTTTCACTGGGAAAAGGTCCTGTTAAGCCGTAGAGGGACATTGCACCCAGAGGTGGAGGAGAGGGCTCTAAATTTGTGCGGGTAGCACTGGGGTTCTGGCCTGGAGGAAAGGGTGTATCCAGAGGAGGGTGGAGGAAGAGCCTGATAGAGGCAATGTAGGAGCAGCCCAAGGAAACAGTTGCAAGGTTTGGGGCAGTACAGACCTTGACTGCTGATTGTAGGGTGCCTGGGCTAGAACCTGGAGTGGTGCCCAGGCCCAGTGCTACCAACCACGGGGGAAGTGGCACAGACCAGGCAATTGAGCAGAAGAGTGCCTAATACAGCCATCTAGTTGGACTTTGATACCCCAGAAGAGGAGGACTATAGTGACATGCCCGGAGAGCCAAGACATGAAGAGAGAGCACCCTGAGTTGCAGAGGGGGAGAGAGAAGCAGCGAGGTGCATGAATGAGCGACAGATGGGACGGGTCAGAGGTGAGTGGAGCTAAGCCCCAGAGCAGCCAGGAGGAGTCACCCCATGTGGTGAGTGGACCCTGTGACAAGCTCTTAAACTCCTTGGATCTTGCAGTGTAAAAGATAAATTAGTCATTTTGTTATAGAAATACAACTGAGTGCTGTGTGACTATCCAATGCACAAAACCCAATCCTGCCCATGTCTATACTATAACTTCAGGGGAACCACTAGTTGGAGGAGGACATTCTTAATCACCCAAGCCCCTGGCATGATGATCCATTAGCTCTTTAGTCAGCATGTGCTCTTCTCCCCCTCCCCCCACCCCAGGTATCTCACTCTCCTTTCTACCCCTTCATCAAAAATACCCCGAGACTTGCCATCCTCAGACCCCCTTTTTCCTGAGGCTCCAAGGCCTCCTCCGCTTGATGTGGCTGCAGGAGAAGGAAAAATATATGGGTTTGGAATACTCGGGAAAGCTGTAAGTCAGGAAGTGAAGTGGTATTACTAGTGTATATGAGAATCTGGTGGCTTCTGACATTTATAATGTATCATATTGCATGCTGGTTAAAAATGCTGGAAGCCACTGAAGTCATGCCTATACTAGGGCTCATGCTGGTGGTGACAACAGCTAGCATTTTTGTGTAAAATTCCTTATGGAAAGGAGATTATGTTCAGATGAAAATGGACAGAAATCAAGATCTGAAAATTACAGGGTGCTAAATTCAGTTGAAGAGATTTTCAGTTCATAAGTTATATTGCATAATTCTTTAATGTTCACAAAGCTTAAAGTGAGCCATAATCTGTTACTAATTAAACAAATACTTTTCCTTAGAAGATCAGCTGTAACTCTTTGTCATTGGGAAGTTATCTAAGCAAAACTATAGATACTCCACAAAGAAGAAACCCAGCTTAGAGGGGAGATGGGTGAAAAGCCTGTGAAATAATGTTGTCAAAAAAGCAGAATTACTGTGATATCTGTTGACAACAGGGGGTGCTACTACCCCTGAAATGGATTTTTACTGGCACCTGGTGGAGCAGATTACTGTCATACCAGTGAAAAAGGTTTACAGTAATTATATGCAATACCCAGCAGTTTATTGAGAAGGAATTACCCAAGCGGTAAGGGGTTATATTAAGCACATAACTCCTACATTAGACATTAAGAGCTATACATTTCTCTTAATGAGTCTCTCTTTCACAAACATACATGAACCGGTCCTGCGCTAGCCTCATGCAGTTCCTGCTTGGCAAACAGAGAAGGTAGTTACCAATTTTATAGATGGCTTCTTCCCTCCTGGTCTGTACTTCTCAGCCCTCTGGTCTGTCTCGGATTCCCTCGAGTCAAGACCTTGGTTGCCTTGAGACCTGTCTGGTTCACAGTCCTCCTACTTGAGCCCACGGAGCACAGTTTTGGCTACTCTGTCTGGCAGCATTGCTTCTTCAAGTGTCAGTGAAGGAATCCCAACCAACAGTAATTTATTTTGCTTGATTCTTATACTCTTTTTCCCTCAAAGGAGTCACATGTCTTAAAAGCATGTCTAGTGGGCGTGTGGTTACTAATTTTCACCTAATTACTATTTCAGAAGGGGCTGGGGGATGGGTGGTACCGAACGAAAAATCACCCCATGTTTACTCACTCATCAGTCGTTCACTCTGGCTTTCTGCGTGATGTCCTTGCTGTAAGGTCATTATAACCAGGATGACCTGTGCTTCATACTGGAACTTTATATATGTGATATTTACTTTTGCATGGGCCCATATTTGCCTACCAATAGGTTCAATATTGATCATACATGCAGAATTTGTCAGTCCTTTGTCAAATCTGCTTCTGCTTAATGGGAACCTGCTCCCAGGCTGCCATTCAGCCATGTTTAAGTCATGTCGAGTTATGCTCACACCATTCATTCAGTATGGCCACACCATTTTGGCACTGTCCCAACAGTATCCCCTTCTTTAAAGATATGTTCTTCATAGGATTCTCATTCTTGAAGATTAAGAAGCTTGAGGATAAGCCTAAAGAAGAAAAGACTGCAGTGCTAAAAGTGATATGGGAACTTGGTAGTGGTTGTAATATTAAAAAATGGTGTAGGGAAGAATAAGATACCTGACCAGTACCAGGGAGACTTTTTAGTCTGAATATTAACTGTGAACAGGGGGGGGGAAATCAACTTTCTCTTGAAAAAATCTTTGCCCCGCATAAAATAAGGGACTTCCACATCCCCAAAACAAACAAATACCTTCTCTGCAGGTAGAATTGGGCTTCTCCCCCACTTTAGAACTAAGTTCTGGAATGCAGAGAGTCCAAGGTGGGCTTCTCAACACAAGCAAGCAATAAGGCTGCAGGAGCACGTGGAGGGATGACCATATTGCTCCTTTGCTGATGAACTCAGAGAAGACAAGTATGATTTAGCTAGTTGTGGCAGGTTTGCCTCTAACTGAGTGCACGTTGAGACAGCCTTGCAGCTTCATGCTAAGGAGGGCATAACAGAAGATATACTTGGGTACCCATTTAGATAAGGTCCTCTTAGCAAATAGCACTGTCCAGTGAATTGCTATCAAATGAAATAAAAAGTTTGGTGGACTTTCTAAGAGATTTAGTCTGCTCAAACAAGAATTATGAGGGCCTTTAAAATCAAGTATGTGATCAGTCCTCACCAGTAATGATGGTGGCAGGTACCCTCCCTTTTCAGATAATGAAGACAAGGCCTTCTCAGAGATTGAGATGTCAAAAGAAGTAGGATTGAAGCAAATTGACAAATTAAATAACAAGCATAGGACCACGTGATATATTTCCAACAGTTCTGAAGGGACTGAAGAATTTGAGTTCCTTACA